AACTGCGAGGAGAGCTTGTTAAACATTACAAATATGTATCTCATTCTCCTCCAACAACCTGAACAACCAGTGTGTGATATGTAAGAGAACCAGTGGGGGAAGTTTTTAAAAAACGTAATAAATTCTGGTAAACTTGGGAGTAACAACGCAATCATCTCCAACGCACTGATACTGAGCCAACACATCTACAGCCTAATGAATTCATGTACTCACCTGACAGTAATTATTACATAATTACTGTTGTTTGTCAGACTATAATTCATTATTGCTGGTTGAAGTTTGACAGGTCATTATTGCAGATGGTGTAGACAGCATGAAGGCACCTTTGATCTGACTTACCGCCTCAGTGCAGCGCCGTTTTCTAACCCTCATTCAATAACATCTCCAGTCCTTTTTCTCTTAGATTTAAATGCATTTTAACTTTTTGGGGGGTTTCACCATAATCTTCATTGACTCATTTTGTTAACGACAAGCCAATCCTGTGCCATGATACGACTTGAATTCTCATCTTAAAGTTTGGCCCACGCTCTGTTGTGAGGTTAGAACATCTATATTTTAGCTGGTCTGTCGTTAACGTGATTTCTGGGTTTTTGAATGCCTGGATGTAGGGCTGGGCGATAAATCGATAATGATATATCGAAAATTAATTTCCCTCTTTAACAATATAAAACAAGGTCAATATCCTTTTCAGTAGCCGGCATTCTGCTATGTATTGGTAGACTGTATGAATAGCCAATGAAAAGGGGAGTTGCTCGTGGTCCACTTCACGCTGAACCAATCATGTGCTGAAATAGAACCAAGTAGCAAACAACTGCGTCGTAGCAGACAGCAGCTACACGCAACAGAAGCACTAAAAAACTTAAGAAGTCGGACCATTCAGTCCGCTTTCTCTAGCGTAACGCCTTACGACAAAACATCGAAGAGACACAGAGACCTCACAGATGCAGTAGATTATTGTATTGCAAAAGACATGCTGCCAATTAGTATCCTTAAATTTCATACAGCGACTGATATAAAAAAAAATATCGTGATAAACTTTTTCCCATATCGCCCAGCCCTACATGGATGTGTTGCATTTACTGACCTGATTTGCACGAATAGCGTTCCATATTGTGTCCGTGTGAGTGCCCAAACATGTCAGTCTGTCTACATCAAACATGACTGAGGTTGACCACTTACTTTCCTCCAAGCGAGTTCCTTTTTATTCTGTTTCGACTGAAAAAACAAGTAGTATCGTGTGGCTCAGGGTAGCTGGACATGCCGCGATCAGTTTGTCCCCCTTTGAACCTCCTCTGATTGGTTGATGACAAACGACACCAGGGGATCTTCATGTTGATTGGCTGTTGTAGCGCCGCTGATTTGCTAGAATCTTCAGCCCTTGACAATGCGCAAATAATCAAAAGTGTGTTGAATGCACCGCCTCATTTCGTTAACTTTTTTTGCAGTTTACTCACCAAGAGAAAATCAACCAGGAACGTTAGTCCGGCTGTGAGAAGTTTGATTTAGTGTGATTCCAGTTGAATTAGCTCAGGCAATAAATTGTTTCTTTTTTCTTAACCCACATAAAAAAGTTCTGTGAGTGTGAATGTAGTAAAGCACGTCCACGTGGGCCCCTGACATGAAGGTTGGGGGGGTTGTGTGAAATGTGAAACAGATGTTACTCTCTTTTGGTCGTCCCTGATGTCAACACCTTTATGTCACACTGAAGAGTGGAGCGCACGAAATACCTCATTCAGGGTTGGGGAGGGGGCCTTCCCATAAACACCTGTTTTGTTCCGGTTAATATCTCCCGTCATGGTGAAGAAATGACGGCCTCACTGAAAGAGGAGAGAGAGAAAGAGGGAGACAGAGAGAGGAGGAGAAGAAGAAGGAGGAGGAGGAGGAGGAGGGGTGTGTGGGGGTCACCTCCATTCCCCTCCGTCTGTGAAAGAGAAGAGCTCATGTGGGATGAACACATTCGTTTATTCATTCGGCCCGTCTATTTTCAGCCCAGTGGGTTTATGGTTATTGGAAAGGCGTTGCCGCCTCGCTCCTTCCCAGAAGGAGTCAATATTTCTCCCTCTCCTTCATTTCTCCCTCTCTGCCTCTTTTTCTCTAATTCAATATTTTCTCCAAAACAACACTCAACCCTCCGCAACACAGGCAAGGAATGCTGGGAGGCATGTATGAGAGAGGCACAACACACAGGCAGAGACAGAAAGAGTGGATGCAAACACACACTCCCACACACACACACACAGAAAAGTGTGAGGTTACAGTGCCAACTGTGATCCCGGAAAAACTCCCGCTCAGGTCGTCTCCCTCTTCCCCCCCCGTCTTATCACACTTCTCCATCGCTGCTCTGTCTTTCTCACAGATGCATCTTTATCTCTCTCTCTGTCCGCGGCTCTTGTGGGACTCTCGAGACCAACTGTGGCCTTTTTACGATGCTGATGTTTGCTAATGACTTTTAATGATGACTTGTTATGGCTCATAAAACCTGCCTCCGTTACTGGCAGTATCAACTTTAACTACAGCGCGGTGCGGTCCTGATAACACACAGCGGGACTTTTATCAGGGTGATTAAAACCAGGCAAGACAGCCTGCACACAAATGGGAAATGTGTGTGTGTTGATGTTAATGTATTTGTATCATATATGGGTCAAACTGTTGGAGGTGGGGGCTGGTTTGTAATGGGTGCACCTCCCTTGTCGTCTAATCTCAGTCTGTGGCGGATAAATTCCCACAAGCCACCTCCAAATATTGACTTAGACTCAGAGGCATGAGTGAAGTGTAGTGCAGATAAAAATAGAGGGTAGGCTGGATGTAACTGGTTCAGTTTGGGCCTGACCTCACAGCTCCATCATTTGTTTATGCGTGCGTGTGAAGAAGGTGTAAAGGGGGTTGGAGGGGGTCTCTCATCTTGTTTACATCCAAACTAAAAGCATGATCAGCATCAAGCAGGTACATGGAGATCTTAAACTGAGCGCGGCGCCTAAAGGTCAAGCCAAAACTGGTTTGTGACCCTGGAAGAATCTGAGGGTGTGACAGTTATTTCAGAGCGCTCATGACCCTTACATAGTGTACACAGTGCTGACACAACAACTGACAGACACACACAGATGCACAGAGACCTTTAAGCAGACATGCCTCACTCTGTGGTAGACCTAAAGCCTTCTCTACTACTGAATGTGAGTGATAGTCTGAGCGTAGAGGAGTACGCCTTTAAGAGAGAAGCAGAAAATTCAGAGGGTCATGATAATAGAGCGCAGACTCCAGATCTGATAAGAAACAAAAACAAAACTGCTGAGCTTGTTTAATGGAAGTTGTTTCTGTGGTTTTGGTTGTTGTAGGTCAAAACTGTCACTGCAGATAGTTGAACAAGGTCACATCAGACTGTTTTATAAACATCAAACTAATCCGAACAGTCTGACATGTTGGTCCAGAGGGACGATTAAACATTTCTATCGTGTATGGACTCCATTTCTTGATCAAGGATATGCAGTATATTCTGGAGGACTCTTCCCAAACCAGGACAAGATGGTTAGTGGACTGGGGAGGCTCTGTTGTCTGTATTGCTTCTATCATCGTATGTGATATGTATGTGTGCGTAAGATTCTGATACTCTTGTTTATGCAGGACTGTGCTGTGATTATGATGGAATTTAGGTGTTAATGGAAAACAAATCTATGCACTGTTTGATAAATATATGATTCTTAATGTTAATTTAAAATATTTTCTAAATAATAATAAGAATCCTTACAGAAGCTTTCAACAGAATAGGAATTTAAGGTTCAATTTTTTTATTTTTTTTTATTATTTATATATATACACAGTATGTATATATTAAAATTTAAGGGTGAAAACACTGCGCTAAGCTTTCTGCAAATATTCTTTTGCAATAACTAATATATTAGTAAAGAGAAGACATTAATCTGGAGCTACATTACCGATAACTTTAATCAAAATAATTTTTTTTTTTCTACGACTCCAGTGAGAAACAAACACCCAAAAGTGGGAAAAATTGATCAAATATATAAATCTATTCACAGTACTTTAAAAAATGGACAACTTTGATGGAGGCTACATGGACAATTTTCTTTTCTTCACTGTGAATGACACCATGTTTTTATGTTCGTTTGTCTTTATTTATATTTTATATATTATAGTTTCTCCATTTCATATAGTTCTTCCACCGTGTCCTGCCAGTTTTTCTGATTGGGTGGATTCTCCTTCTCCTTACACCTCATGATGGCCTTCTTTGATGCTGCAAGAAGTGTTTCAGTCAAGTATCTGTCTTTAGTTTGTATGTTTTGCTGTGTAAGATTGCCCAGGTACATTACTGCGAAGGTCATGGGGAGCTCGTAACCCAATATTTTTCTTATTCCTTTGCTTATTTCTAGTAGTTAGTTATTTTCTTGCAGCACCAACAGATATGGGTATGATCAACGTCCTATTCTCCTCAGTGGGACCTGCAGAATTTTTTTTTCTTTATACTGCTTAATTATATTTTTCTTTGAATGCCCGTTTGTCTTTTTTCTGTTATGTTTTAAAAATGCAAATAAATTCAAATAAAAACAAAATATTAGTTTTCAGCTGCAGATTTCCGGTTTTTCTTTGTTTACATCAATGTGAAAAAGCCCAAGTGGACAAAAACATCATTTTTAAAAAAACATTTTTGAATGTCAAGCTGCTGATAATTTCCAATAAGATGATAAAATGATATTTTTAATGTATTTTAATGAGTTCACATCAACACCATCAATAGAGAGGTTAGGCCTTAAATTTTTTATTTTTTATTTTTTTTCACAATTTTTGACCCTTGCTCCATTTTATTTAGATTTGTCAAACTGTTATCTTGTTATTTTATATCACTTGTGAGTAAAATAGAATGGCTAGAATAAACTGTTCTTTATAAGGAGCCCCACTATCAGCTTTACAGGGAATATAGCGCCACCTTGAGGTTAACACTGCTAATCGCAGGTTCAGCATCAGATAGGTAATCTATTAATCTTCCTTACGGTCAATGATTGTCGATTACGAGAGGACGAAGTCCAATGTAAACAGTAGAGTGAGTATGGTGGTCATAACAGCAGCATCATGTCTGTGAAAACTCTGTGCAGAGGAGATTTACTAAAACTTTTTAAACATGGTGTTTCCGCCTCAAACAAATGTGTAAGAGCCCGACAGTCCGCAGCAGCAGCAGCAGGGCCAGGACGAGGCTCCACTCGGGGGTACTACAACAGCGGGAAAGACTGGCTCCAAACACCGGAAAAGGGAGCCCGTGTCCGGGTGGTGGACCTCCGCAGCGACACGGTGACGAAGCCCGGGCCGGCGATGCGTCAGGCCATGGCGGAGGCCGAGGTCGGAGACGACGTAATGGGAGAAGATCCGACGGTTAATGGTCAGACCGAGTAAAACACACCACACCAATAGAAGTGGAAGTATCTGGAAGAGCAATTGTCCTAAGTCGAAAATGAATCACCAGAGTAGGAGTTTCAAGAATTTACGATGAAATACATTCAGCGCTTGCAATTTCTCCTTTTTAAAAATCAATGTAAAAAAGATTTAAAATCCCTACAAAGTCAAAGCTACGGTGGCCTAGAACCGCCACTGCTGCAATAAAAAAGAATACAAAAAACTGGAAAACTGAAGCCAACTGCCAATAAAATAAGAAACGGTGCAGATTTTTAAAAAAGCCACAACAAAGGTTAACTACGCAAAAAAAAGTGAAGATACAAAAAAAAAAAATCTTGTTGCAGTGTGCGTTTTTTTATTTCCGTGGCCGAGAACTGCCACTGCTGCAAATAATAGAATGCAAAAGAAAAAAAAGAAGTCACAACAGAATTTACCCATGCAAAAAAAGAGACTGAGGCCTGCTGCAAATGATAGAATGCAAAAAAGTTCTTTTGCATTGGTAACTTCCATTATGACTTATTTTTGTATTTGCAGCAGTGGCGGTTCTCGGCCACCACAATAAAAAAAGCACACTGATGTAATCTCAAGTATTCCCAAAATACACAGTGACTTGAGCAAAATCATTCTAGATATCAACATTTAAAGTACAATTTCGAATATCTTAGTCAGAACAATGACAAGCTGCCATTTGAATTTAGATCATGATGATAATTAAGAAATAAATTTGTTGTTATTGGCAGGTAAGCTCTTGTATAATGGCAGAGGTTGTTGAATTTAGTAATGATAAGTCATGTATTTGCTGACTTTATAGCAAATATATGCTGAACAAATAAACATTATTTTACAGAGAATCTCTACCCTAATCTTTCAGTATCTGACGTATATTTCTGCAGAGTTACAGAAGATTGCTGCTGACATGTTTGGGATGGAGGCTGCTCTGTTCGTCCCCACTGGAACCATGAGTAACCTGATCGCAGGTGAACCGATCATTTAGAAACAGAGTCAGAAACAACTCTAATTTGTTCATTACGTCATAAACTGCATGTCTGTGCATTTCATTTTGCAGTGATGGTGCACTGTAGAGAGCGGGGAGACGAGATGATTGTAGGCGACCTTTCACATTTGCACATCTATGAACAAGGAGGTAGCGCGCAGGTGAGTGAGTCAGAGCTGCGAACTCTCTTGTGTTGGTTTTATCATCATCTGCAGTGGATTTAATGTGGATTTGCGTGTTGACACAGCTGGCTGGTGTCCACGCCACCACAGTGACCAACCTCCCAGATGGGACATTTGACTTGGATCAGCTGGAATCAAAGATTCGCCATGGTTACCCCGACCCCCATTACCCCCGCTCACGCCTTGTATGCGTGGAGAACACGCACAACATTCAGGGAGGGCGTGTGCTGCCTCTGACCTTCCTGCAGGAGGTGTGTGGGAGTGAAGATTTGTTTTTTAAGCAAATCTCACGCTGATAGACAAACTTCAGTGTGTCAACATGTGAATGCAGCTGTCATACTTCCCTTGGAGCAGCTCTGACAGGTTTTATCATTGCTCATTTGATTTGTTTTCACCTCTTAGGTCCGTGCTTTGGCAGACAAGTATGATCTGTCGGTTCACATGGATGGAGCCAGAGTGATAAATGCTGCTGTGGCCCAGGGGGTGCCTCCATCCACCATACTGCAGCATACACACACTGTCAGCGTGTGCCTGTCTAAGGTGAGACTGTTGAACAAACACACACATCAGTAAACAATGTAGGAGATTAATTTGCATATCTTTTAAAAGCCGCCATTTTGAGTTCTTATGATTCTTGACAGGGTTTGGGCGCCCCTGTGGGAACCATGCTCGCTGGGCCCAAAGACTTCATATCCCGAGCACTCCGATGTCGTAAAGCCCTGGGTGGAGGGATGCGACAGGCTGGTGTTCTCGCAGCAGCTGGAAAACTCTCACTACTCGAGATGGTAGGCCGACTAGAGGACGATCACCGCAGTGCAAAAACCTTTGCTCAAGGTGAGTAGCCCTGCAAAATCTAAATATTCCCCACATGGAGTACCTCTGTCTTCTTCATCCTACTTGTGACTCCTTTCTCTTCTAGCTCTGCTCGACTGTGACCCTCCTCTCTTTGCTGTCGACTTGACCACCGTGGAGACAAACATACTGCGTTTCCGCATTCAAGAGCCGAGCTTGAGCACCTCCGAGTTCTGTGCCCGCATGGGTCAGGTTGGCGAGGGAGAGGAGGCCGCGCTGGGTCAGGGGATTAAAGTTCTCATGTACCCTCATTATGCAAATTCAGTTCGAGCTGTGTGGCATCTTGGGATTTCCCCTGAAGATACTCAGCTGGCCATCAGTAAAATGCAGTTTGTGGCTTCCCAATATGTAAAGGAAAAGCTCAGGGCTCAGTAAAACTTGATATTGCGTGAGAAGTGCAATCGAATCACTGGAACTGATTAAAGAAAATGTAAAAACAAGGCTACAAATCTACCAGCTGGACTCTATTTAGAATCTTTTTATGATGTTTTAATATAAAATAATATAATTAATTTCATAAAATTCAGCATTTGGTGCACATATCCTGATAACACCAAGAATAAATCCATTCAACCATTATTGTTTTGTCAGTTTGATTTTTGTTTGTGTGAATGTATAAATTATTTCAGCTGTCAGACTTATAGTTTGATGTAAACTCCACATTTTTTGTAGTTGAATGTTTTGTTTGACGACGTTTCAGGAGTTTTGGCAGCAGCATGAATAAGCACAATCCTGTCATCATTTGGTAGCTGAGTCCTGCTCTAGGTCATGTTTAATAAAGCCATAAAAGAATGGGTCGTAAAAAAAACAATGTTACATAATGGTCACAAGATGGCACTGCTGTACCTGTCATTTCCTTATCAATTCAGCCAGAAAACGAAGATAAAGAATGTCATTTAAAGACCTTTGCTGCGTCCGAACTGCCCGCTCGGATACTACATGCTACTGCTACGTGCTACTGCTAGATCCTACTCCTACATACTAAACACGTTGGCCCAATTCGGACACACTAGACGAGCGGTGGGGAAAGACGACCCCGCAGGCAGAGAGTAGGTACTGCGCCCGTGCAGACAGTGGTAACTGAAGCCCCTCATCTGCGGGCCTGGCTGTAGTACTGCAGCTGTGCAGTTTAATGATGGAATAAGTGAGCTTTACCTCCATGATGTCGCCACTTGCTCATAAAATGATTACTTGGGCAAATATGACACCATGACATGACAAAGAGATACAACCGGACATTTTTTAGGACAGTGTGTGAAGTTACATGAAACTTACATCTGTACTGCTGCGGTCCCGCCTGCTGCTGCTGCTGCTGCTCCGACATGGTGCGCGCTGCTGTGGCCAGCCGGCGTTCGCGACACTTTTAAATAGGCAGAGCAGCTGGTGGCGCTAGCATCACATGCGCTTCTACAACTTTTAAGAGGACGAAGAAGAAGCCCGCGGTGCATTTTGGGTCAGTAGCATGCCCGTAGGATGCACCGAGACCAACCTACAATGTGGGCGTGTCTAGCATCTGAAGTAGTATCTGAAGTAGCATGCTACTCGCTCCGGTGGCCAATTCGGACATGCTAGATACTACTTCGACTACTACTTCGACTACTACTTGGCAATTCGGACGCAGCTCTTCACATTCACGCCTGAGAGCTTGATAATGTTCGTTCACTGCTAAAATTACTACAGTTCGTGAAAAAAAAGACAATAGATTTGGCAGCGGTGGGATTCGAACCCACGCCATCGAAATGACTGGAGCCTAAATCCAGCGCCTTAGACCACTCGGCCACGCTACCATGCTGCGATTGTGGAAACCACGTAACAATTTAAACAACACCAATTTTATAAATTTGTGGCTTTTTCGACTTAATTTTGTTCTTTCACTCATATATTATTATGTTACGAGATAACAGGAGTGTGATATAAAGTTAAGGTGAGCATTTTTAAGTTAAGCATGTAAAGGAGGTTCAGAAACAGATTGGCTTAACGGTTACCAAAATAACGCACGATGCGCGTGGGCTTTAGATTTCAAATCTTAAGAGTAAACAGTTACCGTTGAAACGCTAATGTAACGGTTGATGAGTTGTTTATCCGATCAGAGAGGTTTAAAGCTGATAAAACAACGATGTCTATTAAATTTATGTTAATAAACAATCACTTCTCCAGCGGCGGGTGCATAATAGTTTTGTTATATATATTTTTATAATACTACCCTGCAGTAACAACAACAAAAAAATCATTTTGTCGACATGCCGCAAAAATTCAAGCAATTTTATCGTCATGTCGTGGCAAGTCAGATGTCGCTCAATCCATAGCATAAAGGTGTAGGTGGAAATTCCTGACTAAGCTCTTCAAACTTCCCCACAAGGTTTCGAACTCACTAAACAAAACTTCAACATATCTACAGTGCTGCTTTAAGATGTAGTTCAGGCAGTCGGAACTACCAACCTCCCATTTCTGCTTTGCAATAATACGGAACGACCTGACTCTGTTGACCCCAAGTAGCAGTATTTACAGTATTTATTTAATCAAAATGGGAACAAAAAATATTCAATCCTACCTAATATGACCCGATTCATTGCAAAATCTCCCAAAACCAAGTTTACGTCTCTTAACACGATGATAACTATATTTCTGATAGTTATGAAGGCAGCATAAACTCGGAGGCGTGGCTATCAGGGAGCAGTGTGGTACGTGCCGACAGCCAGCGTCACTGTGGTGGACTGTAACAAGAACTCCAGCCCGCTGCCAGGCACGTCCCCGGACCGACGGGATCCATTGGAGAGCTAGGACCAACCCAGTTCGGTTCTGAGAGGAGAGTCCGGACGCTGCAGCTGCATTCGTGTCCGACTGTGTTTCATTTGACTGGAAGTGAAAGACGGAAGAGGACGGAGGAGCCTGTCAAGATAATACGAGGAAAAGGTGAGCCCTAAGGTTGTTTTATTGAAAGCATTATCGTACATTCAACAGTAGGTGGAGAAGTGAAGTTAATGCTTTAGAGAGTGCTGTAACAATAGAGCCTTCAGCCTTTGTTCCTGCTGCTGCTGCATGGTGTTGCATGGGCGCACACTGCACAGCAAAGCAGAAGTAAAGGAACTTAATGTCTCATCATGCATGCCCCTGAACCAGCCAGCTGTTATTTTTCTAGACATCTGCAAACACACTCAGACCTTAGTTGCTGGGTTGCTTTTACATGCCAACTCTCATCACTGTAATTCTGTATCTATATTATTTTCCAGTGCATTTGTAAATAGAGTAAAATTTTATGCATATAATGTAGATTCTTTGGCACAAACACTCCTAATCCTACCTAGAAAGCTCCTCTCATGGATTTAACACCCATGCAGCCATCATGCAGGGTTGTTTTGATCACGTACAAAGCCACAGCACATCCCTGTCCTTATTTGACTGCACGCCTCCTCCTTCTTCTTGTCAGTATTTTTGCAGGAATCATGGAGGACGAACTGATGTTCAGCATGGAGGAGGAGGATGGAAGCGCAAAGAGACCCCCTGTCCAACGCAGCTCCCCTCATCAGCGGGCGTCCTCCGTCAGCGACGCCAACACCAGTGATGATGATGACGACGAGGACCAATTCATCTGCCCCATCCTGGACGACTCCGCCAGGGAGATCTGCGGCTACCTGAAGAGTCTTGTTTACACCCGGCAGCTGTCAAACTCACTCCCAAAGACCAACTTTGTTTACAGGGTGAGCTTTTGCACAACACTGGCATGATATTATCCATAAAAGGAAGCAAATATTCAAAACAGAGTACTGTAGAAGTGTGAAGTCATGCTTGAAAACACTCAGCAATGTAAGTCTGCGATCTGAAAACAACTCTTTTCCGTATAAGGAGAGATGAACTCACACAGACCAATATTTGACATGGGTGATACTGAAGTAGTAAACTGGTCAGCAACCTCTTGGCTGCACTTTCTCTAAAGAACAGGAAGTCCTGCAGTTTGGTTTTCACCACATGTGATTATGCTGCATGTAAACACGTCCCTCCCTGCTCTCTCACAGCTCAGACAAAAAAAGAGGCTGAATTCAATACTTTGCACTCTTGTGAGAGCAGCTGCGCACCAGCCAACTGCAGGAATAAAAGCTCTCTTTGTTTGTGAGGATTGTATGTGGGTGTTTGTTTTCTAAAAATCTTGTTTAATGATGAAAAGTCCGTTTTCTTCACCTTTTTTTCACATAGAATGAAACAGGAACAGAGACAGAGGCAGAACCTCGAACGTACAAGGTTTTGTCCCAGAGTGCACGGGTATGTTACAGATCATATTTTATCTTCTCTCCCTCCCTCTCCACCCGTGACCGTTTCTGCCTCACTGTTTCACTCCAACTTATAATTTACTGTCCTTTCCCTTCGCTGTTTTGCTGCTTTTCTCTTCTCCCATAACTCCTTTGCGTCCTCACCAGTGCATCCACCTTTCTCTCTGACATTCAACCTCTAATAAGTTCAATCGGTTTACACTAACTTTCTTACACTAAGCTGAAAAAAGAGAAACATGCAGCTCTTATCACCCCCCAGGTTCATGCCGTTTTTCCATTAGCACCACACTGAGCTTTATGACTCTAAATCTGAAACTAGACTCGTCTGACCTGCCTGTCGAATTTCTGCCAGCATGGAGAAGTTTAAGACTCCTGCAGATGTAAGACGCTCCTCCTTGCGGACGGTCCGCCACGTCACATGACGCTTCGTATTTCTCTTCATGTGAATCCTCCCCTTAAATAGAAACATGTCTAAAATGCCTCCTCGACAGTGAACATTGGCGTACGAGGGGGGACACAGGTCAGGGTTTTGGGTAACTGGAGCTGTTTTACATTACCAGGGGACATGTGATTCACGGTTTCTATGTGGGATGTTATCTTCTGTAAGTGGCACTGCTGCAGATAACTGTCACTGCTAAGAGCTTTTCTGATTGGTAATGCATTTTTAAAGGTCATCTGAGGATATCTTAAAGGTACAGTGTGTGATTTTAGCAGAACAGACTTTGCAGAATCATAAATATGTTAAAATGAGTCTTTAATCACCTGAATATGAAAATAGTTTTCTTTTTATTTACTTTGAATTAGTCTTTTACATAGTAGTCTACATCAGGGGTGTCAAACTCAACCACAGCAAGGACCATAATCTGGATTACAGTCTAATCTGGGGGCCAAACAGGGTCAACATTTCCCCAAAACTGTCAACCTCCTTTTCAAAATAAATCTAACAAAAACAGCAGTGATTATAAATCATTTGGAAATTCAAATATGATCAAAAGATAGAACATTTTTAATCTTTATTCTATTTTTATTTATTAGTTTGACAGATCAGAGCGTGATATTAAAAATAGAAAAATAATGCTTTTAAAGAGCAAATACATGAGAAGAAAGTTGAAATCAGGTTTAAAAGGTCAAAATATGACTTAAAATTAAAAATTGGTATCTAAAGTATAAAAATGAAACAAGTCTAAATACTGAGTTGAACAAATTAAAGCATCAAATTAAAAAATCAATCATATTTGGCTTGTAATCTTGAGATGTAAAGTTGAAAACATGAAATAAAACACCAAATAATTTCCCCTAAATTCTTGACTATTTATCAAATCTTTCTTACTCTTTAATCCCGGATTTTCGTGGTTTATTAAGGACATTTTAAATAAAGGTGCTAAAGTTTACATTATTATCCTGGAGGAAATCAGCAGACTTCATATTGGTGGGCCAATAATAACACAAATATGATATGATCTTGTGAACCAGATATAAGTGTTCCATGGACCAGATTTGGTCCCCGGGCCTTGAGTTTGACACCTGTGGTCTACATAATAGTGGGGGGCAGAGGCACCCCCGAAACTCCTACAGGAGAACAGAATAAATGAACTAGTGAAAGTCAAGATATTGTGTTCAAAATAACTCATTTTGATAAACATTTGTGGTCATAAAAACTCGGCAGAACTTATCTTGCGTCGCCAAAGCTTCTTGTCCTCTAAGGCTACCGTCACTTCTTTAATAATCGAGAGCGTTTCAGTCACAGATCAATATTTAAATCATTGGAAATCATGGATGTCGAACTGTAAAAATAATCAAGTCTCTTGAAGCGACCGTTCATTCAAGGTTTCCATATTTTCTTTTGACATATTCTCCTCCTTCTTTGCACATTTCCTGACAAATTAGTGTTTTTCCCTCCTCCCCTCTTTAACTTTCATCCCTCCTGATGTGCATGCTGATCAAACAAACTAAACAAGCATCTTTGTAGAGCAGGCTTAGGTCTGCTGGGTGTGTACCTGAGCTTTGTTGTAACACGATCTGCTTTAATGAGATCCTGATTAGAGAAATAATCAGGCATAATGAAGAGACGAGGCTTTGGGCATAAATGAAATCAGAAAGTGTCTCAAATTTTCACTAAGAAGTTTCACATTCTCCTCCTTCACTGTGCTCTAGGTTACCTTCCCTTTTTTCATTTTTCACGTACCGTCGGCTAATTTGTCGTGTTTCTTCATCACGACAGGATATGTGGAAAAGGGCCATCGCAAAGGCCAAAGCCATGCCCGACCCCTGGGCTCAGTTTCACCTGGAGGACATCAAGAGTGAACCCTGCACACGCTACAGGTCAGAACGAGTGTGTGACTGCGAACCAGCTGCTGTGATCCTCCCTTTTTTACACCCGTCACCTGACAGATATTTATAATGAGTTTTATTAAGCAACTCAAATCCTCAAACTCTGAAACCGGCTCAGCTAATTGTTATGCAGCCAAGTTAGTGTTATTGTTCACACCTCAGCTCCTCTTGCTGTGACGGGTCGACTTGTTCTCCTGATGGTGATGTTTTTATTGCCACGTGAGGCTGTAATTTCAAAGTACACAGGCACAGAAGTTAAACAAGAACCATAGATTTCCACATTTTCCTGGTTTATGACGTCTGAAAACTTGAGATTTTGAGGCTTTTTTATCAGGTTACAGTTATTAAATAATATTTTTATGAGTGTCCCCCAGTGACAGATGTGCTTTATAGGATACGAGCTTACATCACTGAAGCGATCTGTTTCACGGCTCGCTCATATCTCGGTCAGTGGAGCTAATCTTAAATGTTGACAAACAGAAATGCCCCTTCACAGACACCTTTTGGCTCGTCCGCTCCTTCTTTTTTTATCTCGTAATGCAGGAGAGGAGCTTGAATGTTGTTGACCCAGATATAACAGCCAACCCTGCAGACACACACACACACACACAGACAGACACACACACACACAGACTCCTGAGAGGGCTCTCAGAGGTGGAAAGAGTTATATGAGGGGAGCAACATAACAGTGAGGGCGTGGGCAAGAATCAGGAAGAACAAGAACGCCTCTGCCCGTGTGTGCTTGTCTGTGTGTGTGTGTTTGTGTGTCTGTGTGTGTCTGTGTATGGGGGGGATCTGTTACATAACACACCGGTCTATCTCTTTAGAGGAAAGAAGGATCGTCAGGAGTGGGGTTTGACCTCGTGTTCCTTTTTTCATGCGCTAATTTTACCCCCCTGTAACCTCACTCCTCCACACGTAGTATGAACTTGATAGAAAGTCCTGGTACACGGTGTCCCCGGCCTGTTTGTTGGCAGACACCACAACTATTAGGATTTGGAAAAGGATTTAGAATACTGAAGCTTTAGAGAGCTGTGTAAACGTTCAGCCGCACCTTCACTTCATGTAGTATTGATTAAACCAGGACAAACACGCCCTGCAAAGCCAAACAGACACGCTGACCCTGACGAATACACAGTTGCATCACCATATCGACAGTGTGAGTTCTTCTATACTTCTACTTTTACCCCTCGTAGTCCTAGAGTCCCAAAGGAAACGGGCGTGGACTTAAAGGACCTCAACCTCTCCCATTCATTCTTCTCTTCTCGCTGCTTTTCCTCCGAGAGGAAGCAACAGGCTTTTTGTGCCTCCGTGATAAGAATTAAAACAGGCTGTTGGCAGACAAACCGCCTCACTCAGCCTCACAGAGCCTCGCTGAGGGCCAAGAGGCTAAAACTGTTTAAATAACCGAACTTAAGTTTGATCTGGTATGAGATAGATAGTCAGAGCAGACAGCTGACCGTTGTGGAGGGCCCAGTGGGAGTGATTTGTAATGTAACAGGTGGAAAGTGAAGACATGTGACATTTTCATCTCACACTGCAGGGTCACAGGGTCCGATCCGTGACGTAAGACAAAAACCACTAATGGAAAATCTCACAGCCGCTCAGTTTTAGTGGGAGAATCAGCTCCTAAAAAGTGGTCGTCTCTCAGTCTCTGAGTATCTTTTCTCGAGTGAGTGGAAAGTTTAAAAGTAGTGAAATAAGACAACTTCAGATCACTCATGTTTGTGTCCAAGTTTTCAAAGATAATAAACAATCTTAAAATGTTAAAATTTAACTGTTAGTCACGATTAACTTTAGCGTAATTACGGTGTGCTGAAAGGGACAAAATAGTTGGTTAAGACTGTCAGCCTCACATAATGTCACCAAAATAAGCTTTTGTTTCGTCAAGAGGATAATTAAGCAAGGATGTTCGTTACAAGAGTGAATATGTAAATTAATCTCTTTAAAGATTCAATATTTGGATTTTTCTTGCCTTCACTAAGTACAAGTGGACGACAAATATCAGTATTTGGACTGCAGATACCAACACCGATATTGAGAGAACATGCAGGCTGACAGCTGATATATAGCTTTACAATTTTAAGTATATATAGTTTTAAATAAGACGCAAAGTTACCGATCTTGAATGATAATTTATCAGAGAAGAGGAGATGAGAAAAATATGAGGTTCAGTGAAGTAACGACTTCTGGATTAAAAAAAGGTAAATAGTTGGGTAAAAACATTAAATCTTTTATATATTTAATTGTCTTAAACAGTAAGATGTTTTTAAGAAGAGGCTCAAGACTCTCTTTTTTAACCAGGCTTTTCACTAATTACCATTTTATATTTCTCTTATTGCAAATATTCATTTTAATCAAAGTTCTTAATGATTATTTAATGTCATTTTATTAATTATTATCTCGTCAAAGGTTTTTACTTCTTTTACCCCTTTGTTATACGGTAAAGAGCTTTTACTTATCTGTTTCATATGATTTTCTTGTTTTAGTCCATCAGGTTTTACTGTTTTTACCATTTTTATTTTTATCTCCATTGTTTCCCAAAGGTCGCATAATGTCTCGGTGTCAGGCCATGTCTCTTTGACAATATAGCTTAAATTCTCACACTGTGTGCGGTTGTGTGTGTGTGTATGTGTGGGAGAGTGAGGGTGGGTGTGTGTCTTTGTGTGAAGTTCGGGTTTTATTGTTGTTAATTGTTGTTTTTAGCCTCTGTGAGGAACTTTGAACTGCATATTTTGTCTGAAAAGTGCCATAAAAATAAAATGCCAAAAGTTGAATTTGAATTTGAATATAGATGGATCTCTAATTCATGATAAAAAAAGACAAACTCTGTGTTATCCTGTAGATTTTATAACACAATATCTTCTGTATGAACCTCCATCTTGTATTTGTGTGATTCGCAGGTACAACGCCGTCAGAGGAGAGTGGGCTCAAGACCAGGTCCACATCAAGATGGGCGCCCAGGTACGGAGTCTAGAAAAACTCCCATCTTTGCTGATATTTCTGAAACATTCACCACTTCGAGTTTCTTCTCTCTGATCTGATCGATTTCCTCTTCCTGGTTTCTCACAGCCGTTTGGGAAAGGGGCCATGAGGGAGTGCTACAGAACGTAAGTAGTCATGCTCGTCGTCCCTCGTGTTCTGGTAGCGGAGTCCTTCGAGGTTCTCAAGTGTAAACAAAGCAGAGGGGTCTGCCCCTCAAAGACTTGAAAAGATGCCGGATCGAAAATTCCTCAAATCTCTTTCTCTGACGTGGGAGGGTGCCGCTGTCAAACTCACGCCAAAGATGGTGCGGAGTGTTTCCCAACTCCGTCAGATCTTCCATGATTGCGCTGGAGTCTATTTTTAACTTTACTATTCCTTGGAAATAAACTAAAATTAAACACGCGGTGCTTTAAAAGCTCTGCTGTGTTTTTGTCTGAGAGTGCGGGATGAGAGAGAAAAGAGGATAATGGTGTTATTGTCGATGTTTAATCCTCAGTTATGTGGGAAATGTGAAAGAGAGGCATCTCAGCTGTGTGCCGTTTGCAGAAAACACCCACACCGATCGAAGCCAGAGCACAAAAATAAACCGATCAACTTAGCTCCTGTGAAATAAAGCCTCTACATCTGAACAATGGCGGATTGTCCCTTTAAATGATGTTGATTTTTTTGTTGATACATTTTTCACGGTGCAGGTTTTCTCGCTCTTATTTCCTCTCCCTCCAGGAAGAAGTTGTCTAATTTCTCTCACAGCAGTAACTGGAAGTCGGCCTCCAACTATGTGACCAAGCGTTACATGGAGACGGTGGACAGAAATGTTTACTTTGAGGACGTCAGGCTGCAAATGGAGGCCAAGCTGTGGGGAGAGGAATACAACCGTCACCGGCCTCCCAAACAGGTACACACACAAACACACAGTCCTGTTTTTCTTTAAATGTAGGCACCCATATTAGTGTAACATGTTCGTGTTCACAGACTGGGTCCTGGAGGTGATTTTAACCCAATGCAGTGATTTCCACGACAGTCATGTCTATTTTTGAGCGTCTGAAGATCAGAGTCTTCCAGTTTTGGTTTTCAGCCCTCAAGTTTCAGAAACTTTTAATGCTATAAGAAGTAGAAGATGAAAATTGAATCATTTTCTCACGCAGTCTCTCACAGAATGGTAAAAAACTTCCCATCTTTACTTCTAAGAGACTTCGCCTCTCTGGAAAACCCTTTTTACACCCAATCATGTGACTGACCTGTTGCAAATTAACTTAATTAAATTAGCTGAAAGATGTTCCTCCAGGTGCCACCTTACTTTTTAGTGTTTTCTTCATCCTTTCACGAGTTTTTGAGAAGTTTCTGGCACCAGATTGGAGCATATACAAGTCTATTTTTTTCATTAGAAAATAAAAGGTTTTAGTTTTAACTTCTAACTTTTTGCTCTACTCTTGGTTAAATATGGAGTTTGAATGATTTGCAAACCATTATATCATTCCTTTTGAATGTTGTTTGTGTTCATTTTAATCCTTCAAGGGTTTCTGCTGGGTCTTAAAAAGTTTTAAAAAGTCTTAAAACGTCTAAAAATTTGAATTCAAGGCCTTTAAATGTCTAAAATTCTCTTAAAACCTCATAAAATGACTTAAAAACAATTTGGAAAGTTCTTAAAAATGTATTGTTCCTTGCAAATAAAGATTGATTTAAAGTTAATTTAAAATTTTCTGATTTCCCTTCATGTCTTTTGTCTTTTTTACTCCATTGCATTCATTAAAGTCTTAAAAAGTCTTAAGTATAACTTATTGAAACCTGCAGAAACCCTGTCCTTCTTCTACTTCTGTATTTTTCCCTTTTTGTTTATTTTAGTCATTACTGTGAGCTTTTCCGTCTGTCAGCACTTGTTCAGCTTACTCTTTAATTAAACAGCACTATGTGACAGAGGAGCAGCTAATCCTTTTTGCTTTAGCATGTAAAACTATTTAAAAACTGCCCAAACTCTGATATGCCTTCAGACGTTTTTCTGTGGAGTGATTTAAAGAGTCCTCATTTAGATCCACATGTGGCTTGGACCTGGATCAAACTGCTCAGCAGTGCAGTCCAAGTTCATAAGAGGACAGAAAAGACGCTCTGAAGAGGAATGGAGAAGTTCCTCGCACACAACAGCTGCTGTTGTGACAGCTGCCTGATTGTTTGTTTGTGTCCTTCAGGTGGACATCATGCAGATGTGTGTTATAGAGATGACAGAAAGACCGGGTAAACCTCTCTTCCACCTGGAGCATTACATCGAGGGAAAATACATCAAGTACAACTCCAACTCCGGCTTTGTGAGGGACGACAACATCCGGCTCACTCCACAGGTGAGAGATGTTTCTCCTTCGATAATCAAAGACCTTCAGATGATCATCACTTTAATCACTTCATTAACGCTCAGTGTTTTTCTCACGTGTCCGTCAGGCTTTCAGTCACTTCAGTTTTGAGCGATCCGGACACCAGCTGATCGTCGTGGACATCCAAGGAGTGGGAGACCTCTACACTGACCCTCAGATCCACACGGAGCAGGGCACTGACTTTGGAGATGGAAATCTAGGTACGGTGTGCCCTGACACTCTGCAGAGAGCACAACAGGGTGACGTTCAGCCAGAGGTTATCCACTAAACTTCAACTCCATCCCGCCTGTGTTCCAGGTGTGCGAGGCATGGCTCTCTTCTTCCACTCCCACCTGTGTAACAAGATCTGCAAGAGTATGGGCCTGACGCCCTTTGACCTTTCACCTGCGGAGAAGTCCCAGCTGGACTCCACCAACAAACTGCTTGTAAACACAACGTTTTAATAAAAGCAGATCATCTAGAGCAGCTAATTCAAGTAAAAACGAGTTTATGAGGTTATTTCAAAGACACAAACTTGAGACTTAAGGAATAAATTTGTAGAAAAGATCTAAATTGAAATGTTAAAACTGCTTGAAAATAGCAAAACAAAGCTCAAAGATAAGAATGGGACGTTTAATTAAAAAATGATCCCGTCAGATAATTCCAGATTTGTGTTTTATGTCCTGGAAGATTAAAGTTATTATGAGTATGCAGCAGAAAAACTGTAGAGAGGATCACATGTCAGATTATCCTGTCAAGATGACTTTAGATATATCTTCACCGCTCGCTTTGATATCCACTTTTGTTCTTTCCTGAGGAGAAAATCTCTGTGTTTGATTCCAGAGGTCGGCTCAGACGGTGCTGCGAGGCTGCGAGGAGCCCTGCGGTTCTCCTCGTATCCGCACCATGTCAGTAGGCCGAGCTCCTCCCCTGCTGTCCCGCCTGTCCGAGACGTCATCCGCAGACGAGAGCATGAGCGAGACGGACTCGATGCCCTGCTCACCCTTCATCCTGCCCTACTCCCCTCAGGCTGGACCAGGATCTGTGGGCAAGTCCCCCATCGGTACATACACCAAGAAATTATTACAAACTGCACATGTCGATTTTGTGTTTTTCAAATGTTTGAACGTGTTGGTTTGTATTTTTTCAGGTTTATCTTTTCCTGGGATGTACGAAAATGACAGACTGAACAGCAACAACAACACAGCTGAACACAATGTGAGTGATCGCTCAAGAAAAGGTACAAAGATGGATCAGAAAGGGATTTCATTTTTGACTATGTGGTCAGTGTTGAGTTAAAAAAACAACACCTTAGAAATCAGACAAAATTGAGCATAATGTTGCTAAAACGACCAAATATGGTCCCTTGAGTCTGTGGATAAGTGGTGTCGCAATCAGATTAATCAGCTTTTCTTCAGAATCCTGTTTCCACATCGCTCCAGAAACTCGAGGCTTGACCGTGACAAAACTGATCCTCTCTCTCTCTCTAAATATCTGAATTTTTTTTTACAGACTTTTATGTGAACCAAGTTTAGTTGCTGTTACTTCTTCTACATATTCATGAATACATGAGCGTATTTATCTAGATATGATGTTAGAAAGCACGAGCACAAGTCTAAGAAAGCTGACTCCTGCACCAGACTGAACCTGCTTTTCCTGAAATAGTTTATTGACGTTGGCAAAGAGTCTTAGCAACTGCAGTTTGGTTTGTTACCAGATATGATATCAGCCCCTAAAATAAGCTGCTTGACACTAATTCTCAGTATAAATTTGATAGTTGAAACTAGGCCTGCACGATATATCGTTTGACTATCGTCATCGCGATGTACGTGTGTGCGATAGTCACATCGCAGAGCCTGTGATATTGGAGGTGAATGAACTCATTTAATTTCAAGGGTAACCGACTGAGATACACTCCATGTGACTCTGCATGTGCTGTGCAGCGATCCACCAATCGCCTTCGTCCTTAACTCAGTTGCCAATCAGACTCACTTCTCAGTTGCCAATCAGACTACCCTGCCAGCTGTCAATCAAAATCAGGGAGGAGAAAACCCACCCCTGCACATGTTCTGCACATGGAGGGAGACGTGTGTCCGCTGAGAATTACTTTCGGAACTTTACTGACTGTTTAGCCCAACAAATAAGAATTGTATGGGTTTTAAATTGTACATTTCCGTGGACCACTCTACTATAAGCAGTGCGCGTTTTGCGAGGTGCATGCAATTCTCGGAGGACATGCGTTTCTCGGCACAACACCGCTAACAACAACAACAACGATCGCAAAATGAACAACGAACAAGCGAAAACCACCGAAAATGAAGATTTGTTGCCAAAAAGAAAAGGAAAGTCAGTTATCTGGAATTATTTCGGTTAAAAGAAGGATGATGTCGACCAAAACACGTCTTCTGTGTTCACCTGTTGCCACAATAACGTCCCAGCACAATAAAAGCTAAAAATATCGCTGAGACAGACAGAAGCCGTTCTACTAACATTCACAAAAAGAGGTAAGATCAGAGCAGATTAACTGTCCTCAAGATTTTAGCAGTGCAGCATAACATTAAGTGCTATTCAGGTCATCTGGTGAAAATACTGTATTTTTAATACCAGATATGATATCAGCCCCTAAAATAAGCTGCTCTACACTAATTTTCAGTATAAATTTGATAGTTTAAACTCAGACAGAGAAAGTGCAGTGTTAAATCCTGCACATTGACTTGTAGTCCAAATGACACACTTGTTGATTTAATGCAGTTTCTGTAACAGCACATCATATAAAGCATAGATTCATGTGTTTAATACGTTTTGCACTATGATGTCTTAGAGATAAAGTAATATTGCTTTTTTTTTAAGTTGCATTAAAGGGATATAAAATTAATTTAGGGTCAAACACACCATAACACTGAGTGAGACGCCCCTTCGAAAGATAAATGTTGCCGACCGCTTGCTTCTCTAGTTATACCAACTGTAGTAACGACCGCATGATAGCAATACACAGCAGTCTGAGGAGCCATAAACTAACATGAACCAAAATGCCACAAATAATGCTCAGAACAGCACCTAACTTCATCAACAGGACATATAGGGTCCCAGCCATAGAGCTAGCCACCAAACATCTTTTTAACTTTGACTAATTTCTTTTAATTTGTGAGGGAGCCCTGACGAGTTGATCATCAAGTGCAGCGGAGTTTCGCAGCTCAAGGAAGAACATTTATGATAATTTCTTCATGGAAATGCAATCAGACCAGGATGCAGTGCAAAATGACAAATATGATGATTATTACTTCAAGGAAATGATAAAGAAATGATCATAAATGTTCTTCTTGGTATAGTTGGTATAACTAGAGAAGCAAGCGGTCGGCAACATTCATCTCTCGTTGGGGTGTCTAACTTGGTGTTATGGTGTGTTTGACCCTAAATTAATTTTACGCCGGAATATCCCTTTAAGTGAAGTTATAGCAATACTAACAGTGATATTATATTGAGAATAACTATTTGTGATATAATCTGAGATAGAAGTCGACCCTGATGGAGCGTCATTTTCCTGTTTAGTTGTTCTTCTGAATTATTTCGTAACTTCCTCGGTTGTGTAACTTGGTGTTAAATAAATATAAAGTCACATTATCACGATGTGTGACGCAACAAGGTCAAGTTTGAATGATGAAGAGCTGCTCCAGCGCGCCGCCATGTGCACACAGCTCCCGGTTCAGCGGTCGTGTTTATACCGTGTTTGTTTTATTTTTGGTCTCTAGGAATCTGAGAGCGGAGGAGACAGCGGCTACCCCAGCGAGAGGAGGAGCGAGGGCGACCCCAGTGACCACGTGGACGGGGTAAAGATTCCCTTCTGACCTTTATCTGATGAGATTTTGAACCCAATTATTTAGGACTTCTCTCTCCAAGATAAACACAAACATCCATTATTTATACTGCAGATTAACTATAAATTTACAGTGTTTATTTTAGTTTTCTGTCATTTTAAAGATTTCAGGCGTATTTTGGTTCTTAATACTTTAAAGATATTTTCAGCTCTGTAGTGTTAGACTTCTCGTGTTCCTGTCTCTAGTTCCCTCCCCTGTTTGCGTCAGTAGCTGTTAGTCTGTTAACGTTTCTTCTCCTACACATGAAGTTTGACTGTTTTCATGCCGCATGTTGTATCACCACGTAGGCTCATCATCGCCCTCACAGACATTATTCTGAGTCGGATGACGACAGTGTCAGACGGGTAAACAAACGCAGCGATATCAGTGTGCAAACTTCATCCTCTCCTCAGTCATAATCATCAACCCTGTCAGAAAATAATCCTCTGATTCTCCTCACTGTTTCCTCCCTTTACTTTGTTTTTTTCCCCTTTTCTGTTTAACAATAAAACCCTTTCCTCACTCTTCCTCCTGCTCTTTGTGTTCCCCTCCTTAGAGGAAGATGGTAGCTCCTCCCAGAGTCTCTGCATCTTTTAACTCATATGCAGACCACGAATGGGTGATTATTTGCATGGAGTCGTTCAGCCCGTGCTTTGCTCTGCAGCCTTTTTTTAGTTAGAGAGCGTAGTAAAGCATGAGGTCTGAGGCTGAAAATGAAACAAATGCTTACACCAGCTGCAACTTTTCCACACCCGGTCGACCTTTATAAAAGAAAAGATGAGAGTTTGACTGAAAAACCATCTACCTCTCTTCATTGACTTCATCTCTTCGTAAAAGTGTGTTTGTGCTGCTTCCATGCTTCACGCAACAGGGGTGTACTCCTCCACACACAGTTGATTTATCCAATGAAACTATTCTGGAGGAGTGCGCCCCTGAGAGTGGAATTTCCTGATTTCTCGACTGAATTTTCCCTTTTTTTCGCTGAAGATCAGACGACATCCCTCTCACTGATTCTCTTTTTTCTCTCAGCTGACGGAGGAGAAGTGGAGCTTCTACCACTCGTCTCGCGCTCACGTCCACAGACCTTCCTGTGTGGCCACGGAGGTGGAGCGGCTCAACGCTCTGCTGCAGAAGAAGATCGGACAGTCGATCCTCGGCAAGGTAAAAAATCCGACCGGACAGTTGCTTCTTTTGAGTCAAATTTAAAAACTCACTTTTACAGACTCGATTTTATGTGATGCCGTCTTTTCTCTTTCTTCTTTTTTCTCTTTTACCTCTTTCTTATTTCAACTTACTGTGTTTTTAGCTTTTGATTTTCTTATAGTCTTTTCTTATTTAACCTTTAAGGCCTTTTATTGATTTTGTTGTTTTTTTCCTGCTCATTTTTGTTATTCCATTTTATCATTACTATTACCATCATTATTATTAATATCCTCCTTTTATATTTACTATCCTGTTTCCTGCTTCAACCCCCCCTTTTTATTAAATTTCTTTTTCTTTCCTATTTTGTGTTTTTATTTTGGTCCTCACGGTCTCATTTTATGTTGTAGGGTTCCTGTATTGTCTGTATTGACTGAGCTTTTGTTTTTTATTTGTTTTTATGTCCATGTTCTGTGCTTTACGACTGTTTGTCAAAGCACTTTGTAATTTTCTGTTTTTTAAAATGTGCTATAAAAATAAAGTTATTATTATCTGGAATTAATAAAGATAAAAAAGGTGGACTGATCTGACACCTGCTGGTCAAACTTGGAGTTGCTTTATTTTAAAACCTAGACACTCAAAACTCAAGAGTGGATTACAGCTGCTAAAAGCACCAAGAGTTGTGCATCATTTGCCTGCTCTCTGCTCCTTCTTACTGTTTAAAGCAAAATATTGTTGCAAATATTGTTAATGATACTCAAGTGCAAAAATGCCCACAAAATTCAGCTTCAGCTCAGAGAAGATTGTTATAATTTGTCATTTTACTGTGACTGAAATGAACGATAAGCATCTGAGCCCTGCTGCTCAGAGCTGCGCTGTGCACTCTCTTCCTGACTGCATTAAACCGTGTCCACATACAGTATATAGTGATCTGCGTTTGAGAGGGACACTTCATACCCTCCTTTCTTTCTTCAAAATAAGTGTATCTTTGGTTTCTCTTCTGTGTAGGTCCACCTGGCGATGGTGCGGTACCATGAAGCGGGTCGGTTCTGTGAGAAGGACGAGCAGTGGGATCAGGACTCGGCCATGTTCCACCTGGAGAGAGCGGCTCTGTGTGGTGAGCTGGAGGCCATCATAGCTTTAGGACAGTGTTACATGCAGCTGCCACATCACATCCTGCCCGATCTGGAGCTGGAGGTAACAAGCGCTTCTCTGCTCTCTAACTCGATACGCTTTTATCGGACACGTCGGTGTTTGTCTGACGTTACTCTGTTGACGGCAGGATAACGCAGGAAACAGGATGAAAGGCTTTAAGTATCTCCTGCTGGCCGCTGAAGCGGGAGACAGATTATGTATGATCACTGTGGCCAGAGCCTTCGACACCGGACTCAACCTTCCAGCTGACAGGTCAGTGAAACAGTTCTGGTGTGACACTCAGGGTAACACTGCCCCCTTGTGGGTTATCTAGAGGCTTGCACCAAAGAAATCGATGAAGGTTTTCATTGTTTCATTGATCCAGAAAGCAGAACTGGGAAGAGGCGATCCACTGGTACGACAGCGTTTTGAACATGACGGACTACGATGAGGGAGGAGAGTTTGATGGGACCCAAGACGAGCCTCGTTACCTCCTGCTGGCCAGAGAGGCGGAGATGTACCAGGAGGGAGGGCACAGTCTCACCGCAGACCCACAGAAAGCAGGTTTGACCTCACTTAAACTTAACAAAGCTTATGAAATTAACAAAACATCGATTAGATCTACTTTTTCATTATAATTTATGTCTAAATAGAGATCTAAAAAGTGTGTCGACCATCGGCTGACCTGCTCTCTTATCAGTATCAGCATCGGCCGTCAAAAGAGTGATTGGTTGATCACTAATGCACACATAGAGGAGAAGTTCTTCTTCACTTTCTGTCCATTCTCACACATTTAAAAAGAAACATCTCCAGGTCTCTCCAAGTGTTAAAAACACACAGTGCTGCTTCTGTCCTCACCTCTTTGTTTTTTGCTGCAGGTGATTTGTTTACAGAGGCGGCGGAAGATGCCATGGCGGCCATGAAAGGTCGACTGGCGAACCAATACTATATGAAAGCTGAAGAAGCCTGGGCACTCATGGAGGAGTAACTCTGGATTCGTATTTCTATTTCAAAAAGGCCACGGGAGTTAGTTTGCCTGACTGTTAGCCAGGCTAGTTTACAGATTTTTTTAATACAGTGTGTTTTGCTAATGGTGCTTCGTGTGTGTGTGTGAGTGTGTGCGCAGGGTTATTTTTTTGCCCTCAAGGATCAATCTCACCCATCAGCTGTCTGATCTTTCCTGTTGTTCATGGAGATACTCACCCTGATCGCTCTTTACTTTCATTTTACATCTCTATTGACCCTTTTTAGCTTTTTGCTAAATGAATGCATGAAAAAGAAACGCTGCAAAATCAAAGAGAAGTGCGAAATGTTAACTGACTTTGACCCAAATGTTAACCAATTTGTGTTCCAAGAATTTATGTAAAAAAAGAAGTTGTAAAATAAAGTTTGAATGAATTTTGGGTACAAAAAAACTGTCCTTTGTCAGGTTTGTATTATGCAGTATTCATGGACTTCACTACACAGACATTAACTGGAACCCATACAACCCCAGCATCAATATACCAGAAATGAAACAACCAAAAACATTTTAAAAAAAGAGTCTAAACTGACATAAACCCAAACATAACAAGACCCAACAACACAAAATCCCCAAAATATTCAATGACTTAACAACTGAGGATACAAGTTCAGCTTAAAATGTCCCGAAAAAGTTCATCTTTTCCCATAATTTAACTCCAAAAAGTGAAACTTCCATATATTCTAGATCCATCCCACCCATAGTGAAACTTTTCAAGACTTTTTTTGCTTTAATTTTCATGATTATGACTTGGAGCTCAGGAAAATCAGAAATTCAAGATTTCAAACCTTAAAAAAAATATAAAGAAACACTTTTTTTTAATTTCTCACTGACATACTGGCCTTTACTGAATGATAGTGTCACAATGTATTTGGGGAATCTGTTATATACTCAGGTTGATCTCAGGGGTCATGTTTTTGAAAAGCTGCGAGTTTTCTTAATTATAAAGTCACTCAAAGTCAAAGTTAATCATTAAAGTCATTATCGTTCATTTCTGTCCACCTTTTATCAGTCCGTAGACACATTAAAACATCCAAAAATATATATAGAAACAGACTTTTTTTCTCACTGACACACTGGACTTGAATGAATGATCGTGTCACAATGTATTTGGGAAATCTTTTATATATTCAGGTTGATCTCAGGGGTCATCTTTTCTAAAGGTTCAAATCACTGAGAGTGTTCTTAATTATAAACTTAATTATAAACTTATTTAAGATAGATAGATAGATAGATAGATAGATAGATAGATAGATAGATAGATAGATAGATAGATAGATAGATAGATACTTTATTAATGCCAGAGGGAAATTCAAAATATATAGAAGACAAAAGTTAATCATGTAAGTCATCATCGTTAATTTTAATGCAACTTTTATCAGTTAGATGAGACATTACTACCAAATCTTTACTCTTAACCAATGAGATTTAATGTTCTTCCAGATCTGTCAAAACAAGTTCATAAATGTTGACTTGAGTGTTGAAATTCAGCCGTTTCCAATCATATTAATTCGTTAAATACAATGTATAAACACGGTCTGATGCAGACTTCCATTCTTTTGGGTCATGCGAGATTCGAACCTTCAGTTGTCCGGGGAGCTCCTCCTGGCCTCTGCGGACAGACTAGTTTATTTGCTCTCAGCCTAGGTGAGACTCGAATGGTGTTGTCTCTGGTTTAAGTGCAAAGAACCCAAAATGTAGGGCCCAGCAACACATAAACATACTTTACAATATTACTGGAGCAAATTATAAGAAACTGTGTGTCAAGTCGAAGAAGTTAAAGGTGAATTTACTCACTTTTTGATAGTATAGTAACCTATTGTTCATTTCGGTATTGCCCAAACATATTGTGTATAAGGTAGCGTGGCCGAGCGGTCTAAGGCGCTGGATTAAGGCTCCAGTCTCTTCGGGGGCGTGGGTTCGAATCCCACCGCTGCCATCACTTTTTGCCCACACAGTCCTCTCCAACCAAGAATGTCTGTTCATGTACGTTGCAGAAGGCCCCACAAACCCGAATGTTCCTCCACTGCAACAGGTGAAAACGAACAATAATAGTCGGTAACACACTCCGGGGGTCTCGCTGTGCATTGTGGGCACGAGCTCCTCCCCACGTGTCTGTGTGGAGCGGAGTCAACATGGTCCTTATACCGACTCAATCCACTAGCTGAGTTTGTCACTCCTGCTATAGACCTCTACGCACCTCATCCATGGACCGTGTCCCTCACGGATGAGATAGCCAAAACTGTTCTTTAAAGTGTGCAGGTGAGAGCTGGGTGAATTTAAGAAGCTGTCTAGACAAAAAAGGAGGAGTTATTTCAGGCCTCTTCTTACCTTTAGTGTGTTATTTTGACTGGCATGTGTTGCTAGCTTACTAATGCTAAGCTACGCTTCCTTGCTAGGTAATGCACCACCGGCTACTCCTCTAGGTTCGCAGACTAGCTCGGCTGTTTTGGTCTGTTTGTAAAGAAAACGATAGGAATTATTCAGTTAATTGTTTCTGAATAACTTTGACGTGTTTAAATTTACTCAACAAAGCAGAATCATCTTTGTAGAGCAGGCCGCTGACAACTTGCATGAAGGTTTGGTGCTAGCAGGCTAATGAAGCTAACGTGTCCAGTTATGTGACATTTTTCATTGATAAATCGCCTGTTTGAGGCGTTCAGGTAACACTCATCAGCTTTATGTGAAGATTATTCCTATATGTTTACATGAGGATCATATAATTAACATGTGGATTACACTGTCTTACATCATGTTGGTTGTACTTGATTGTGTCAATGATAATATCACATGATAAAGTGAATGTTTATACTCTGGCACTTGTAATTATTTGTCTTCTGTTTTGGTTTGGATGTCAGAATAAGTTAGTACTGTCTCAGGTTTTCTTATATTGGATAATTGTGTTTAACTCTCCTGTTGTCCTAATGTGATGTTGATGATGATGATGAATCACATTGCAGTCATCAGACCTCTTTGTTAACAGGTCTGGGTGTAACTCTGAATGTATGTGCAGCTCTAATAATGAATATCTGTAACCCGGCGTGTCTTTGATTCCAGGTTAGATCTCTGAGATCTGCTGCAGTCCCCCCTCTGTTTCATCTCTCATCCCCTCCTCGCTCTGTCTGCATCAACATGGCAAGCGGGGATGATGATGACCCCATTATAGAAGAGGTGCGTCCATACCTCAAGCTTAAAGATATGTGCCAGTGAAACACTTATAGATCTGACTTTTCTCTCCTTAGATTTACATAGTTGTCAAACATCCAAAACCAACCAGCAGCAGCATTCAAAGGTATATTCCAGCATAAAATTAATTTAGGGTCAAACACACCGTACACCAAGTTAGACACCCCCTCGAGAGATAAATGTTGCCGAACGTTTGCTTCTCTAGTTATACCAACTTTAGTAACGACCGCAGGATAGAAATACACAGCGGTCTAAAAAAGCATAAACAAACCTCAACCAGAACGCCACTCTTAACAGCACCTAACTTTATCAACAGCACATATAGAGTCCCAGCCACAGCATTAGCCACCAAACATCTCTTTAACTTTGCCTAATTTCTTTAGCAAAGAGACTAATCACAACTCAGCTACTCTCTTCCAGCAGCCGCTTGTTTGTAGCGAGACCTTGACCAGTGACGCAGTGACAGCGGGGTGACGCAGCTCAAGAAAGAACATTTATGATCATTACTTCATGGAAATGCAATCAAGCAGAAGAACTACCGCGTCTGCAGAGCAAAATGATAAATATGGTGATTCTTACTTCAAGAAAATGATAAAGAAATGATCATAAATGTTCTTCCTTGAGCTGCGGCACCCCACAGCAGTCGATGGACTCGCCCAGAGGTCTCGCTACAAACAAGCGGCTGCTGGAAGAGAGTAGGTGAGTTGTGTTTAGTCTCTTTGCTAAAGAAACCAGGCAAATTTGAAAAGATGTTTGGTGGCTGGGTCCCTATATGTACTGTCGATGAAGTTAGGTGCTGTTCTGAGCATTATTTGTGGCGTTTTGGTTGAGGTTTGTTTACGGCTCCTCAGACCGCTGTGTATTTCTATCCTGCGGTCATTACTAAAGTTGGTATAACTAGAGAAGCAAGCGATCAGTAACATTCATCTCTGGAGGGGCTGTCTTGCTTGGTGTTACGGTGTGTTTGACCCTAAATTAATTTTACACCAGAATAGCCCTTTAAGTGGAGGACCAGGGACTGGAATTGCTCAGATTTTGGTGATGCCACTGAATGTTTTTGACTTCATAGGCAAAATAAGGCTCTAACATTTACATCTAAACTGGTCTTTTAACATAACACAGATGTCTGACCTGTGCTTCTGTGATGTTGTGTGTAACTCAGGCGATATAGACTGATCTGTCCCTCACTCATGACTGAGATTAATGTGTCTTTGTTTCAGATCGATGTTTACCTCGCTAAAAGCCTTGCGGATAAGCTCTATCTCTTCCAGGTATCTCTTTCCTTCAGTGACTGTTTACATATTCAAATCCAGCCTCAGTCACAGTCTAACCAAAGTCTTCGTCTCTGAACACAGTACCCCGTCAGACCCTCTACTATGACCTATGATGATGTCAGCCACCTAGCTGCGAGGATTAAACCCAAGCAACAAAGGGTAAGATCAGCGTTTTTCTCATATTGTATCAGCTGCTGTCGTAGAACATAATTGTAATTTATTTTGCTCCACCTGTGATTACAGGTGGAGCTGGAGATGGCCATCAACACGATGAGTCCAAACTACTGTCGCAGCAAAGGAGAGCAGATTGCTCTGAATGTGGACGGCACGGCGTATGATGAAACCAACACTTACACAGCGTATGTTTAAGAAAAGAAAACTGCATTCACAAGAAACCTGTTTGAAGGTTATTCTGAAATAGTCAGAATGAGTTCATCTGCACCCAAGACCAGCAGAAAAGACACATGAAGTTTTCCTACTGTCATGTCTGTGCAGTTTCTAGAACATCTGCAAACATGCCATTAAAAGATGTCCAGTGATTCCTGAAACCTCAGCGTCACAGTGAACAGCTGTCTTACTGTCACAGCTCTCAGACTCTGTTTCTTCTCTTGTTTTTCTTCTGCAGGAAAATGATGGACAAGCAGACCTTTTCCTCCATCCAGGCCACCACCAACACATCCAGATATGCTGCTGCCGTGTTTCGCAAAGGTGTGATCCGGCTCTTTAGCCTAATTATCATCGAGCGTGTGGCGAGTCTAACCTGTTTCTTATGACTACACAAAGGTCACTCCTGCAGTTTGCTCAGAGTCCATGTGAACCTCTTATCAGTGTCGCCTTTTTTTATCTAATCTAAAGTTTTATCTCACCTCTGAATGTGACTCGATGACTGTCGCACATCAGTATGATCAACTTCATGATATAAAAACACGAGTTATGTTGTTTCTCACTTAGACGACACCTCAGGGCCACCAAAGTGTTTTTTCCTGCCATCCCCCATTTCTTAAAATTCATCCAGCACCTGAAGTTATTAAACTACATGATCTCCTGTTGCTTTCTGCCCTTTGCATCCACTAACCTTCAGCACCTGACACTTGCACTGCAGGTGAAACGATCTGGAAATCTGAGTCGTGTATTTGGACTCCTTTTTAAAAATGTGCTGCTGATGAATATTGTGAAAAGATCTGAGACCAAACAGCAGGAGGTGGGATGAGGACTTGTATCTGGACTTAAGAACCAGTAACCAGATCACAGAGTCATCATTACTATATCTCTATCCACAGGTGAGCTTCATGTCACCCCTCTGACCGGGATCCTTCAGATGAGACCCAGTTTTTCGTACCTCGACAAGGCAGACAACAAAACCAGAGAGAGGGAGGCGGCCAACGAAGGTGTGTTTACTTTTCAAAGATGTATTTATTTTAAAAGACGCAGTAGTCATCTTTTTATTCTTGTATGCCTAATTAGCTGATCATAAATCGTATCCAATCTAATCTGGAGTTTACCATAACGCTATAACCATCCAGAGATAAAGAAGCACAGACAGCATCTTGCAGCCTGGCACTGTTTGTCAGTATGATATTTGTCAGATATGGTTATATGTGGGTGTGTCTGATAAAGTCGAGAGTAATTAGATTAGATTAGATAGAACTGAATTTATCTTTTTGGGGAAATTCCAGTAACATCATGTACAGAAAAGAAAAAAAGAATAATCAAATATACAATACATAAAAAATAACTTTTGATAATTCAAGCATTTATTTATAAAAAGTAAGATTCAAAGATTTAATGAGTGACTAGCACAGGCATGTAGATGAGGTCCGAAGGTGGTGGTTCAGGATTTGCCAGTCTAATCCACTCACAGCAAACCTGTGAACAAAGTTTAACCACAGACTCAGTGACCCAGAGTTCAGCCCTCTGAGAGAAACACGGCATTTTTGTCTGGGAGGGATAAGAAATCAGTCACTTTCAGCTCATCCATAGATTGAAATAAATAAAATACTTGCAGCTCTTCACATATAAGGATTTGGCTGTTTTTATGTAGATTCACTTGAGGTTAATGTCAGGTTAATGTCCGAGACACTTAAAGGGTGGACTCTGGAAAAATGAAAATACTAAATAAGATACTCTTTTTTTTCCCCACCTTGCTACTTGACTACTTTTTATCTACCAAACAGAAAAAGTTTCTAATTAGTTACAAATATAAGTCATCAAGTAACCTCAGATCTGACAGCAGAGCTCAATTGACTGTATTTTATTTTTAAAGGAAACAACATTTCAAAGAGGAAAATTGAACTTGTCATATAACTTTGAGTCTTGACTTCTTCAGGAGGAGATTCCTCTCAGGATGAAGCCGAGGAGGAAGTCAAGGCCATTACGGTAAAACCTGAAGCCCACAAACTCACGAGTCTTCAGCTCGGTTTGTAAATATGAACCCGTCACTCACAGATGGCTCCGTCTGTCCTCTCCAGGTGAGGTTTGCCCGTCCGGAGTCGGAGCAGGCCCGGCAGAGGAGGATCCAGTCGTACGAGTTCCTCCAGAAGAAGCAGGCGGAGGAGCCGTGGGCTCACCTGCGCTACCACGGTGTCAGGGTACGAGAGCGCTGCTTTATCAAACTCAAGAACAATTTAGAGATTGACATTTTCTCCCCCCTGGATTCTGGGCAGTTGATGATTTTGTGATTTTGATTTTTGATCCAGGACAGCAGATCGGAGCACGAGAAGCAGTACCTGTTCTGTCAGTCCGTGGACGCCTCGCAGAACACGGAACTGGTCAAAACTCCCAAGTGAGTAATCGAGATCTTTCCAAAGATAATAATTTTCTGAGCCAGGTTTTAGTGATCTTAGAGAAACATTAAAGTCAGGAAGAAAAAGGCCGATTGTGTTCACACTGTGAGAATTTCAGGAGCTCAGTCTGATGATCAACCTTCCTCCGACTCTCTGTTCTGTAGGGAGTACCTGGCCATGCTGATGCCTCCTCTGGCGGAGGAGAAAGTGTACGTTTTCCTCTCGTTTCAGACTTGTTCTAAAAGTTGAAAATGTCATAAACCCAGAGATAAAAAGTTTCTAATGTTTTTCTTATTTTGTTTGTTTCTTTGCTCGTCAGTGTGAAGCCGGTCGGTCCCAGTAATGTGCTCTCCATGGCTCAGCTCAGAACGCTGCCGCTGGGAGACCAAGTCAGGACCCTGATGAAGAACGGTATGTGATCTTTTTTAAGCTGCTGATAATCTGATGGTTGTTTCCTTTTTTTTCCTGTTTTTTTTCTGATCGTGTCTCCTCTGGTTTTCAGTCAAAGTCATGCCGTTTGCGAACCTGATGGGCCTGCTCGCCTCCGGCACGGACTCCACCGCAGTGCTGCGCTGCATCCAACAGGTGGCACTGCTGGTTCAGGGGAACTGGGTGGTTAAAAGGTGAGAGGAAGCAGCTTGTGACAGATTTTAATAAGAGCTCCTGTTTGTTTTTCTCTTATGAACGTTTTCCACCGAGGAGCTGAGTAATAAAGTTCCTTATTTTCTTCCCAGTGATGTTCTGTATCCTAAAAACACCTGCAGTCCTCACAGCGGCGTCCCGGCTGAAGTGCTGTGTCGTGGCAGAGACTTTGTGGTGAGCTGGTCCTCTTTATGAAACCTTAAACAGAGCAGTGTCCCATAATGAGTCTTTGTCTGTTTAATTTTAAAGTCACAGTCTCTCAGTTTGTCTGTTTTTGTCGTTAGATGTGGAGATTCACTCTGGAGCGCTCTGTGATGAGGAAGGAGATCACCGCCATCATCAAAGTAAGAAACGAGACCTGCTTGGTGATAGATGGCGCCCATTTTTATAGAAACTAATTTTTGCCTCATATTTTTAAAGTTATGGTTGACGAAACGATTTGGAAAAGGCGTCCCACCCCTCAAAACACAAACCTCTTCCCTCTGTGCTCCACGATAACTCCCCCAAACCTGTATCGCCTCCCCCACGACACACCCCCTCTGACAGAGCAAGAAACCGGCCGGCAGAAGATCCTGCGCTAGCTTCGAATAGGATTCACCATTTGATATCAAGATATCAAGACTCGAGCACAACAAGAGAAGAAGTCAGAGTTTATAAAATACAAGAGTTAAAACAACGAGCTAAAACGGTTAAAAAAGACGTGGTTTAATCTTTGATCGAGGGTTTGGAAATGCAGATTGGACGTGTGCAGATGGTGTTAAAAACTAAAAGCTGATCTCTGAAGTTCAGCATTAGTAAATTAAATCACCTCACTGATTAAGTCTGTTATCGTCGCTCAGATGCTGAGCCTCCTCCGTCTCTCCTCTCTCACCTTGAAGCTGCTGCTGCTCCTTTGTCATCCGGGTAAACCCGACTCACTCCTCTTCCTCTTTTGTCTTCGCAGCTTCCTCCAGAGGACGTGAAGGAGTTCCTGGAGCATGTTTCGGCTCCTCGGGTGAACCGGGGTTGGGAGTTCCTTCTGCCGACAGATAAGGAGTTTGTTAAAAAGCACCCAGACGTCGCTCACAGGCAGCACATGCTGTGGCTCGGCATTCAGAGCAAGTAGGTCGCACCCATAAAAGCAGATTTACTCCAACGTTATAGACGAGTCATGAAAGAGACGCTAAAAGTCTTTTCTTTCGTTTAAGGCTGGAAAAAGTCTTCAACTTCTCCAAAGAGGACTTCATGCCAAAGAATTGTCCTCAGCCCGGTGTGTTCAGAGTTATTTTTAAGACAGAAATGAAATATCGAGCAGAAAGGGTCAAAATGAGCTCATGTGTTTGCTTTTTCTCAGAGCCCGTCCACGTGAGCGGGGAGCAGCGTCTCAAGGCGGCTCAGGAGCGCGCTCAAGAACACCGCGCATCCCTTCAAAAGGACCTGGATGCCAAACGAGCTGGAAGCGGCGCCCGCGTCAAACAGGAGCCGGCCAGGGAGGACGAACCCATGGACACTTCCTCTTCCTCCTCTTCCATCCCTAACGGTTCTGTCAACGGTTACCCCGGCTTCGATCACACGAACGGTAACGGGGCCGACGCGGCGTCTCTGGAGCTGCAGGACTTTGTGAGAAAGACTTTCAGGAAGCATTTCGTGCTGACGCTGAACGAGTTCAAGAGGCTGTTTAACCTCCACCTGGCCTCCATGCCGGTGGGTCAGAGCATCTTCCAGTCCATCTCAGACCACATGCTGCAGGAGGCCATACTGCTCAGCCCGTGCAGACAGATAATGGTGCCTGTGAGTATGAAGGAGCGACGCCATACAGCTCATTCTTGATAGATGATGCACGGATACCCCAGTTTCTGTCTCTGTTATGGTTTAATCTGATGATGAAACCATCTGCAAACAACACAGAGTAATATTTGAAAACCAGAGTGAGAAGTGTGAGGAGTTGTATGCACATCTGATAGAGAGCATAAACTAGCTCTTGTGGTTTCTTGTTGGGGTGACCAATCACAGATCAGCAGATTTTGGCGTCTGCTGTATGGAGAGCAAAAGCAGGCAGAAACTAATCTACGATAATGACTTTCCGGCTTCCATCGCGGGGTCAAATTCTGGTGCATAGATTAAGTAAGGTCTAGGAGATAAACCGAAAATGTACCCATACCGAAATTTCTTCCTTCAGTCCATCCTTCTGCCAGCCAGCCAAGGCAGTTTCTCAATTTGACAATATCTCACATTGCAACATTTCTTATCCATTGGTTGGAAGGGCGCAGGCAGAAGAAACATCTTATATTACCTGCCCCTCACTCAAAGTCTAATTGTTCTAATAATCTATCACTGAGCAACATTCATACCACAAAACAAAACACAACAAAACAAACAGCAGAGTTTCAAATTGACATTTCGGTCACTGAGCGATACTGTAGTCACACCATGAAGTAAACAAAACAAGCACAATAATACATATAAATCAAAGACAGCATTTGAAGCCGACTCTTCTACAAGCATCATGGGTTTCTTTTGTCATAATTTCTAATTTATGACAATAACCGACGTCATTTTGTCCATATCAGTAAATTTGGTGTCAAAAAAATAGATAAATAAAAGTTTGTTTTGGATGTGTGTAGGTAGGCTATGGTCTCATGTCCCTTTTAACGTGACTCCACCCCATCCAGTCTGTAACAAAGAGGGAGAGACAGGTGAGGAGATGGAGGACGGTTCAAAAGTTGAAGTAGACGAAGTTAACATAGGAGGGGGTGAGCAGCTTGTGGAGTAGTTATCATCGATTTATCGTTATCGAGGTGAACTGCTCAATATATCGTGATATTGATTTAAGGTCATATCGCCCAGCCCTAGATTAAGCGTACTGGTGCTGGTTCTTCTGGAGCGCTCGCCTTGTTTGGTGAGTTGGTTTGGTGTTTTTCCACCTCTGCATCCATCTGCACTGAATCAGCCAATCAGCAGCCCCGTTCTGATTAATCAGGGCGTGTTGTAGAAGTATGATTTTAGAGGTGTTTCACTTAGATCTCTGTTTAACTGGCTCCACACCTGAGGAACAAGCAGACCTCTATGTGTCCCATCAGGTTTTATAAAGCCCCTGCTGTCCTGAGGTGGAGGATGATGAGGAGGGGGTTTCCTGTGCGACCGACTGCCTGAATGCAAAGATATCAGTTTTCTCTCGCAGAATAACGTCTTTAACGGTCGCCTCGCTCCTGAGCGCTCTGTTGTCTCCACAAGAGCCGATTCATCCATGTGATACAGGTCTGGTTCTCGGGTTCCACTCGGGTCCCTGGAGCCACCTGATACCTGTGTTTTAGTCGGTCCTCTATGTTTGGACTCAGGTTTAATATAGAGGGATCAGACTTGTTTTTGTTGTTTATTTCAGCCCTCCTTTTGCTCACAGTGCGGGGAGCGGCGTCTCGTCTCATTAAGCAGAAGATCTCCTGCCAGGCCCAGCCCTGTCCTGGTTTAGGTCTTATCCAATCTGCTTCTCTGACATGAGAGGATTTTAATGGCTGCAGGGGGGGGGGAGTGGCTGATGGCCGTCTTTGTTATGCAACAGATTATGGCCCTCAAAATAAATCTCATTAGCCATCAGAGGGGGGCTAATCTGGTTTGTTGTTTGTAAACTCGGGCAGATCTGGGACCAGGTGGTACTCCTTCTGTGTTACCGTGAGCCTCATAGTTCAGACATTTGACTTCTTAGAGATCAGGTTTGTGTCAGACGGTGGAGCTCTCAGTGCTGGTCCTTCAGCAGAGCTCTGACCGTTCACGTTTTCAGCACTTGGAAGAGAGAGAGAGCGGCTTTAAGGCGTTAACTGACGGTAACTGATCTGTTTTTGCACACCTGAAATTAGTGCTGGGCGGTAAAACGATAACGAAATTAATTTCCCTCAGTATCGATATAGAACATAGTCGATGTGCTTTTTTGATAGTCGTCATTAAAAAGGAGAAAAGTGCGTTAAGCTAAGGTGTTTGGTGTGTGTCCCTGTTAAAAGACACAGATACAGATGTCCAGTTTAGTGGTGGATTTATCTGACTGTGGTTCTGCAGATGCAGATATAAAGCAACAATCAGTACAGCTCACATCATACATAACGTGAACATCAAGTAGCATGAGATAGCATTCGCCATATTCACGTAAACAATACATTAACACAATAAAGCATCCAACTTGGACAGTGAAACGTCATAAAACTCACTTCTGTCATTTACACACAATAAACCCGAGATGTGAAGGTGAATATCGGGTAAAAACAGGTAAGAGGATATTTACGAACTATCCTCTGCTGCATCAGGAGGAAAACTAAACTTTCGCTGCTGCAGCATCTCATAAATACACAGCTGCGTTTAATTGCATCAGAACTAGGGCCCGACTGATATGAATTTTTGGGGCTGATCGGCTAGCGAAAATCGGCTAGCTTTGGCGATTAGTCTCAGATGGGCTAAAATTGACCGATATAATCAGCTTGCCAATAAATCGGTCGGGCCCCAATCGGAACGCCTATGGTGCGTTCACCAGCATAGGACAAATGAAAACTCATCGTAAAACACGATATAACTGAACGGTATCGCAAATGCAAAACGTTACAAACCCTCAGCGGCGTATGAAGCCCACGGCGCCTGAACAGCCGGAACAGCCGACCATTCAGTCCGATTTCTCTCGCGCAACGCCTTACAACAAAACGTCAAAGAGACACAAAGACCTCACAGATGCAGATTATCGTATTGCAAAAGACATGCTACCAATAAACACTGTTAATTTTTTTTATTCATATCGTGATACACATCGATATCGCCTGATATGAAAAAAATATATCATGATAAACTTTTTCCCATATCGCCCAGCCCTACATAAAATCAAGGTTCATGAGCTCCAAGGCTTGAAATGAGGTTTTCTACCACTTTTTTTTACCACATGTGTAAATGCAGAGTCATCCACATATTAGGCAGCAGGTTTGTGCTTCAGGTTTACAACATCAAATTGTTGGTCTTACTCTGGTTCCTGAAACTGAGTTTGACTTCCTGTTATTAAACGTCGTCTTTATTGAAGCCAAAATGCGTCCAAATTAGAGACAGAGCTTTCTTTGTCCGCTGCGGTCTCTAACATGTAAAATATCTGACAGTTTCTTATAATGTAACCTTTCATCCGCCATGTTTTACCTCCTCTCTGTCACGCTCGGTATTTCCTGACTTGTTCCTGAATCCTAACCAGATCTCTTCCTCTACAGTTTCCCGCTCAGAGCACTGCGGCGCCTGACGAGCAGAAGGTGTTCGGTTTGTGGGAGACCGGAGAAGACTTTGACAAGGTGAGCGCTCAGACTCTTCCTGTCGCTGCACGTCACCGTCTCTTTCTACATCTTGTAGAAAACTCAAACCACAAACCTCAACGCAGAGTTTCTCATGAAGCCGAGACTTCATGCAGAGTGTGGGCGATGATCGCTGCAGAACTTCAGAGGTGAAAAAAGTAGGACACGGCTCGTTCGGCAGAAAACAGCACAGTCAGAGTGGAGAAGCAGCGAATGAAAACGCTGATTTTCTTTCTTTTTTATTCTGGTTTCAAAAAGTGAGAAGAGTGCTAGCTGGAAATGTCAGTGTCTTTATTTCTTTTAGGTTTCTTTTAAGAAATTACAGGTTTGATGAGGAGATGCATTCCCAGCTCATAGTCCTCTTGAACATTTGCAGTCCTGAAAATTTCCAGGAAATATCTTGGAGCTCTGGTTTTGCATTTCCTCACAGGAGCTTTAAAAATAGAAGTGAATGTATTTTCAGGATTTGGAAGAGCAGGATAGGATAGAGCAGGAAATGAAGAAAGAGACCTTAGATTGGATATAAACCCAGGCTCTCCGCTCAACACAGGAGAGATGTTTCAACTTTGGCGTCAAACTCTAGATGGAAAAGTCGCCGAATGATCTTTAAACCCGTTTTGTTTTGTTTTTCTTCTCCTCCTGCAGCATCGTCGGCTCCTCTACGACCTTTTCACCAAGAACTACAGAGTCAGGAGGAACATGATTCAAGCCCGACTGGCGCAGGAGTTCGAAGACGTCCCAAAGGCAGACATCGACCGTCTGCTCAGCGTAAGACAGACGATGAGGCTGAACTTAAATTCTTCTGTTTGGTTTTAATTTCCTGTCGTTGACCTCCTCTGTCGTCTCGCTCCAGGAGTGCTGCAGCAGCCACGCGGGGATGTGGTACCTCAAAGGGACGATACAGTCGTGACGCTGAGCGCCTGCCCCCCATCTGCGATCACCGTCAGCCAATCACATCCTCGCCCTGGTGACCAGCGGGAGGGCAGACAGACAGACAGAAAGACAGACAGACAGATCAGAGCCAATCACAACCCGCCCAGCTCAGAGGACAGGTAGGCGGATCGAGAACAAGGCATCAGGAAGTGAATTCAGAGCATTTAACGTTAACGTGCGAGCGCTCTGATGCAGCACGGAGGATCTGAACCCGACACACACTCTCACACACACACACACAGCTGAGTGTCTGAGGGGAGATATGAAGAAAACAAGATACGCTGTACATACTCGGTTTATCTTTAGGATTTTGGATTTCATGTTTGATTATTTTGAATTCAACTTTTACTCTGGAAAGCAGCTGTTGCTCAAAGTGCGATCAGGATAATTTTATTTAAGGGTTCAAAAACACCGACACTCAAGAGGAAGTGAGGAAACCTGGTTTATTTTCAATCTGGCTAAAGCATGTAGAGTTATAAAAACATCTTTTCATGCTTGATACGAATTCAAAGGGCTGCGGAGTTCAGACGATGGTCACCGTGAACGATAAACTAAAGGCACTTAAAGTGACTCTGCAGTAATGAGGGGAAATCACAGATGTTCTGAAATCACCCGTTTTCACCACCTGTGGACCTGGACTGCTGCATCTGATGTGGCTTTTCTCTTCAGTCAACTGTGAACTGAGCTGAAAACTGAAGTGAACGAGTGACGCTGAGGTTTGTTTCCGGTTGAATGTGACGAGTTTATCAAAGTTTTCCTTCATGAGGCTGAATTTGATGATTAGACCAGAAAAAATCTCAGTAATCTGGTTCAGTCGGGATTTGATCCACCGCTCGGAAACGCTGGACCATCTTCCCTGGAACGACGGGGAAGTCGTTGCTATGGAAACGCTGTTGTATCTCCATTCGCTGCTATCTCGAGCCTCCATCTAGAAGTGCCTCTGCCTCACACGGCGATCAGGACAAACTCCCACGTGTTCACTGGCAGGAAAACGCTCATCGAAATCCAAACAGTCGAATCATGGAAATAAATGTCAGATAAAGAAATTGTGATGTGGCACATTAAACGACACAGCTTTTTCTTTTTTTCATTTGTTTACTCAATAAATATTGTGAAGCTGTTTGATGTCTTCTCTCTTACTTTCACATTCAGAAGCAGGTTTTAAAAACTTTCAGAGAACTTAGATATTATTTAAAAAAACAAAATCACCACTAAAATATAAACAAAAACTTGATTTGGTTATCAGAAGAACTCTAAATGGTCAACAATTAAAGGGGATGCATGCGTAAGAGAAGATTTGTTTTCATTAATGAGCTGAAACTAAAATTTAGGTGTGTTCAAGAACCAGTGGACTGAGGTTCTGTTCTGGGTTGATTGAAGGAAGGAGTCGCAGTAGTCCATGCATGATATTACATGTTGTGTTGTTGTGTGCTGTCAGGTCGGGTCTGATCGTGCTCTTGCAGGACTGAGCAGTTAAAGCCACGCCCAGATTCTGAGCAGACCTCTCGGGCACAATCACAAAAACATTTATAATCATTTCTTCATGTAAATACAATCAGACCGAGACGCTAAGACAGAAGAACTACCGCGTCTGTTAAATGATTAATATGGTGATTATTACTTCAAGGAAATGATAAAGTAATGATCATAAATGTTCTTCCTTGAGCTGTGTCACCCCGCTGTGGTAATGGACTGGCCTGAGGTCTCGCTACAAACAAGCAGCTGCTGGAAGAGAGTAGGTGAGCTGAGTTTAGTCTCTTTGTTAAGGAAATTTGGCAAAGTTATAAAGATGTTTGGTGTCTAGTACTATGGCTGTGACCCTATATGTCCTGTTGATGAAGTTAGGTGCTGTTCTGAGCATTATTTGTGACGTTTTGGTTGAGGTTTGTTTATGGCTCCTCAGACCGCTGTGTATTGCTATTGTACAGTCATTACTAAAGTTGGTTTAACTAGAGAAGCAAGCGGTCGGCAACATTCATCTCTCGAGGGGGTGTCTAACTCGATGTTACGGTGTGTTTGACCATAATTTAAATTTACGCCGGAATATCCCTTTAGTAGGGAATCTTTAAATCAAGAAACTGCTCGATAGATTGACCTTAATGAATCGTCTTAATCTGACTTTCAGTTTGTCCCAATAACTATCCTTTTATATACAAGTACACATCAGTAGGGCTGAAACAATTCATCCAGTACCTCAATTACAAATAATTATATAATCTCTGCCTTGACTACTGGTTTATCAACTCAAATCGTCACTGTTTTGCACAGATTATTTTCAAGGTGACAACACGTTTACATCACCACGGTAGAAGGAAGAGTAAGCGTGGTTTTGGTTTTGTGAAGCGGAAAAAACAAAAGATGAGAGGGGCTTTTTTTCTGCAGAGCTCCTGTAGCTCCGGCGCTGCTCTGCACGCTCCTCGTCATGCTCACTTGTAGCCTAACATTGCAGGTGTAGTAGAAGTAGCAGGTAACATAGGAGCTATACTCAGACACTAATGTCTTTAAGGACATAAAGTTAATATTATAATTAGCTTTCTTACTAGCAGTAAAGTAGAATTCAGTAGAATACTCGATTACTAAAGTGTTCAAAAGCTGCGGCCCTAAGTAATAGAATATTTGCATTATAAAAAAGACTAAATGTATGAAAGGAGGGACACTGCAGTGAAAGAAACCACACAAATCAGTGCTTGCTTCTCATTTTATGGCTCAGAACAACAAACCAAAAGGCCGTGTCATGACAGAGTTAAAAACACTCAGAGCGTACATTCATACAATCAGCTGATTCTTCATTGAACATCATCACACATTTGAACCACTACATGTGCGATGTAAAGTGTCAGAGAGCATTAAATAACGCATATGCAACCCTAAAGTGCTTCTCAATGTGATTTTTAAGACAAACTATGTTCACAGTTTAAAGCTTACCACACAAACATCAGGCGGAAGCTTCTATCGTACGTTTCTCCATGAGGCGGATATACGAGGAGTCACATGAACGAGTTCTTTAAATATCACATTCACTCACTGTTTTCTAACCTATCACACAGTGTCGAGTAATACGCACATTTAGAAAAATCATACACTTTAGCACCTTTAAATCACCTCTAAATCGTATGAACTCCATCACCAATATTACGTCGGAAATTTTGCATAAGTTGCTCTCAAAGGCGCAGGAACAGCTGACGCCAAGAGAGGAGCTTTTACTACATTTCAGGTTGAAAAGAAAGAAATAATTATAAAAGTTCACATTGGGTCATCAGAGGTCAAAACTAACAGCAGGTACAGTAAGAATACTTCATTTCATGGATTCATCTTATTTCTTTAAGCTCCCTGGTGAGAGTTGAGTAGATTAGGAATATTTACAAGGAAGTATATTTATAAAAAGTCTAATTTAAGAGATTTTAGCACCCCTCACTCCTGGAAACTTCTGAATCCACAGAATAAAGTGTTCCTTAAACAGCTTAATGTGAAGAGGTCCCAGAAATGATTTCCTCGGGATCTTGTCAGACGGAGGTAGAGTGATTGTTCAGCAGCGTTAGGCACGGTTGTTTCTGTGCAAAATGAGTCAAATCTTCGATTGAAGCTGCTGGTGCTGGTCTTCGTATTCTGGTATCACTCTGGACCCCGTCCCTCCATCACTCTCTGGGTTAACTCGGAGCTCTACAGTGTGGATTTAGGCCTTATGTGCTGCTGGAAGAGTCTTCACTAACAGTCGCTTTGAACCGGAAGACGAACGTTAATGCTGCAGGTTTGAGTCGTCTCGTTTTCTTTCTCTAGTGCAGACTCGGCAGCCCCTCCTCTGCTGCGAGTCTCTCTCTGTTTTCAATCAGGTCCTCTTTGGTTTTCTGAATGCGAGAGAAAATTTCCCGAAAAAGTTCCTTGTACTCCGGCTGGTGGAAGTCGTCCTCGAAGTCGTCCATGTCAGCCAGAGCAGAACAGGCACCGGAAGCGGAGAGGGAAGCGGTCTGGGCTGATTTGTGGATCTGCTCGTCGTCCGCCTCCTCCTCCTGCAGCCCCAGGTGACACCGCCGCAGCAGCTCGTCGTACTTCACCTGCAAGGCACTGTACTGGGCGTCCACCTCGTTGAGCAGCGAGATCCCGCGATACTTCACCACCCCGGCTCGGCGCACGCAAGAGCACTCGTGGTCATAGATCCTGTCGGGAGAATCAGGCATCGGAGCGGCTTTGAGGAGCCGCTCGCTGTCCCAGCACTTCTGGACTCGTGGGCTTCTGGCTGCAGCGGACTCCCCCTCGTTCTCCTCCTCCGGGTTGAGGAACACCGAGTTGGACAGGAGGCCATGGAGGAGGTCCAGCCGGGTGGATTTTTTGGAGGATTCTGATTTCCAGAGCTGACGAAGCTCCTCGGCCTCTCGCTCCAACTCAGAAACTCTGACCTACAGTGAAGAGAAACGGGTTTGGAGGTGAGATGAAGGTCAAGAAGACGTCAGAGAAGCTTTTCAAAACAATATATATATATATATATATATCTGCCACATGATTCTTTTTGATCAAAGACGTTTGGATTCATCCTCCAGGGACAATGAATGAGGAGCAAAATGCTTTTAAAGGGATATTCCGGCGTAAAATTAATTTAGGGTCAAACACACTGTAACACAGAGTTAGACACCTCCTCGAGAGATGAATGTTGCCGACTGCAGCGGGGTGTCACAGCCCAAGGAAGAACATTTATGATCATTTCTTCATGGAAATGCAATCAGACCGAGACGCTAAGGCAGAAGAACTACCACGTCTGCAGTGCAAAATGATTAATATGGTGATTATTACTTCAAGGAAATGATAAAGAAATGATCATAAATGTTCTTCCTTGAGCTGCGTCACCCCGCATGTCCTGTTGATGAAGTTAGGTGCTGTTCTGAGCGTTATTTGTGGCGTTTTGGTTGAGGTTTGTTGATGGCTCCTCAGACCGCCGTGTATTGCTATCGTGCGGTTGTTACTAAAGTTGGTATAACTAGAGAAGCAAGCGGTCGGCAACATTCATCTCTTAAGGGGTTGTCTAACTCTGTGTTACGGTGTGTTTGACCCTAAATTAATATTATGCCAGAATATCCCTCTAAATTGGCAGCGATTAAAAGTATAACTATCAGACATACCTGACATCCTTCCATCTTCGCCACCTGCTGCTCCAGCGTTGCGTTTTCATTGGCGAGCAACTGGGCCTCCCGCTCCGACTCCTCCCTTCGAGCGCGCTCAGTGGCGTACTGGGTCTGCAGGGTGTGGAGGGACTGTCGTAGAGACGCTTGCTCCTCCTCGCGCCACGCCGCCGCTGAGGATTCAAAGTCGTCCAGAGTTTCGTCAGGGTCGTAGCTGTCCCTGCAGAAGATGATAAACAGTAAATGGACTGTGTTTATATATATGTATCAGTCTGTCCACTCAACGTGCTTTTACTTTGTACGTCATATTCACTCATTCACACTCTGATGGCGGAGGCTGATACAGGAAGTCTCGATCTGTAGCGAAGAGGAACTTGGACTCGGCTCAGAACAGAAACCGCACAAAAGCAGGTGATGTAAGACAGGAAGAAACAGCAGACAGGCCGAGAACGCGGACTCATCAAGGACTTATCAGCCATACAGAGCAGATTAGAGAGCTGCTTATGAATCAATCGCAGCTTCAGGGAGATATCGAGACGTGTTTGAACCCTTTAGCTTAGACTTTGACCCGCTTCCTTCCAACCTGATCCATCAAACAGCGACCAAGTTCAGTGAGATTTCCACCCACCTGACCTGAATGTGTTCACAGGATTACACACACACACGGACACACACACACATGCGCGCAGGACGGTCCGAGCAGAGAGGAAGTGACCACAGCACGGAGCGGTCTGAGGTAGATGTGGACAGCTGCCAGAGGGGAGGATTAGGAGTAATAGGGGGGACTAAAGCCAGGAGGACTCAGGAGGATTTGCGCCTTTTCTTGAGGCTTAAAAGAGCTCCTGGACTCTTGACAATGCAAGATTTCATTTTGACCAGGTTAGGGTACAGATCTGGTCTGAGATTCTTACCGATCAATGTCACACCCCTGTCATCAAAATATAAAATAACTGGAAATTACAGTCATCATGAGTTACTGGACGTAAAAGTACATCCATGATAGGAAATCTGCCATCAAACATTAAAAACCAACAAGTTTCCAGGATTTTCAATCATTTGCTCGTCTCTAATTTATGCAGAGATTCACACACCTGAACCTGTCCCTCAGCCGAAGTTGCTCTCATATTGACAGAGAAAGACTTATTTTCTGCGACTAAACCAAGATCATTCGGTTAAATGTTAAACCGCGGCTCACAGCTGATTAACTCGGCTCGGTGTGATGAACGGAAACTGTAGAAAAGGTTTAATGTTTTGTCTGGCAGCACATCAAGAGCTGACTTAAGGTTTATTTTTTAACTGTGGACACACGTTTACTCCGTCTTCAGCAGGTGGTGTTAAGCTACGCTGCGCTAAAGGCGAGGAGGTTTCATGTGGGGTTGATTCTGGCGGCCCCTTTGGACAGAACCGGCAGTGCACTCCCAGGCATGTTTATTAGGGGTTGTCTCGTATGGTTGTTGTTGTCAATTTAGTTTTTTTGTGCTCTCGGTGCCAAAAGGTGATGTGGGGAACTTTTGATTTGTGTTGCTTTTGGCGCCCCCTCTGGACAGTTTTACCTTTTATCGCTCGTCTTGTACATGTGAAATATCCAAAGGTGCGATTATTCTTTTAAAAAAGTAGGTAAAAACTCTTTAAAGTGCCTTTAATGGTTTAGACTTAAAAGTTTTAGTCATATTTTGTGTATTTCAATCTCCGAACAGCTGGAAAGCTTACGATACTGCACTTAAAAGTCTCTAAAAGACGTAAAAGTCATCGATCTTCCTCAAAGCTGCTTCTTAGCAAGTGACAGAAAAACTGACTCAACACCCAAGAAGTTTGTCGGCAGAGTTTCTTTTGCAATTTCCTGAAACTCTTTCTGCAACACATCCTCTCGTGGTAAACAGACTTTACTTTGAAGAGTGTAAAGCCACACCTGAAAAATACTTTTTCAATCATTAATCTGGACCATAAAAAAATAAAAGATAAAGTCAAAAATGTCTGTCGCAAGTTATATAAGCTCAAAGTGAAGCCAATTAACTGTCCAAAAACCAAAAACATTGAATTCAAACAAACAAACAAAAAAAACAGCAAATCTTCACATCTAAAACTAAAAATATTAAGTATTTTCCTGCCGCTTTTTCTTTTTTTATTTACACTCAGTTTTGATGGTTTCATGAAAATATATTCATTGTTTCTCTATCTCTAGTGTGCTCCTCAATACCTCTGCATGCTGTAAATTACTTCTTCAGACACAGTCATCAAAAATAACCTTTCTATTAAATTCAGACTGTTTAATAATCAGTAAAATCTCAAATCTAATCTCTGATACGGCTGAAGCTCTCTCGGCCTCCTCACCTGAGTGCGTTTTGCAGCTCCGTCAGACAGGACACACTCTGGCTGCTGCGAGGGGACCACTTGTCCCCGCGCGGACGTTTCTGAGGCTGTGCAGGACTCAGTTTCAGCAGCTCCACCTGATGCTGCAGCTCCTCCACCTGCGTCTGCAGCAGCTCCACAGTCTCCGTCAGCCTGCAAACAGAGGAAACACGCTCTCTGTTAGGTTACCCGTCAACAAAAAGAGAGAGAGTTATCTTCCCATAATCCCTCTCTTTGCTCACCCCTGGATCCTCTGCTGGGCCGCTCTGTTGTCCAGGACCAGTTTGTGGTTGTTCTGCTCCAGATCCCGCGCCGACATGTCCAGCTGCTCGTACACTTTGGCATGCTGGTCGTTGACCTGTCTGAGGAGGTCCACCTGCTTGGTCAGGTACTGAAGAAGAAGAAGAAGAGGAAAGTTTAAAAATCTAACACCGCAACACCGATTTAGACTCCCCCTCGAGAGATGAATGTTGCCGACCGCTTGCTTCTCTAGTTTTACCAACTTTAGAAACGACCGCACAATAGCAATACACAGCGGTCTGAGGAGCCATAAACAAACCTCAATCAAAATACATATAGGGTCCCAGCCACAGCACTAGCCCTCAAACATCTTTTTAACTTTGCCTAATTTCTTTAGCAAAGAGACTAAATACAACTCACCTACTCTCTTCCAGCAGCCGCTTGTTTGTAGCAAGACCTCAGGCCGGTCCACTACAGACTATAGCGGGGTGTCGCAGCTCAAGGAAGAACATTTTTGACCACAATTACTGCTGTTCTGAGCAGTATTTGTGGATATATTTATGGCTCCTCAGACCACTGTGTTTTGCTATCGTGCGGTCGTTACTGAAGTTGGAATAACCAGAGAAGCAAGCGGTCGGCAACATTCATCTCTCGACATTAATTTTACGCCGGAATATCCCTTTAAATTGATCAGTAACTCAAAAGGAACAAGCTTCAAAAATCATGAACTTTCAGCTTTTAAAAGTGGCAGAGACAATTATAAACTCAATTTTTCCATAAATCCACATCAGCAACATCCATGAGTTTGTTCTTTATTTTTCTAATCGGCTCAATCAACCCAGGTTTCAGCTGATTCACCTGTGATTGGCTTCATTAATCAATCCGTCCTTCTAGAGTGAGCACTGCAAACGGGGATTTCACTGTCTGTTTACCGCACCTCAAAATACTTCGTAATGGCTGAGCTTTAATTACGCACACAGAAATGATCATGCCGTTACTAAAAGTTAATTATTTAAGCATAATCTGCAGGTACTGATAATGTTGTGCATCCATGATAATTCACAAGAGTCAAAGTTTAGGAGCAAATCGGTAAATAAGAAAGCACAACAAACAACAAACCTTGAAATATGTTCACAGTAGACACGAACCAATATCATGAATAAGTAATTTTCAATGACGACAAGAGTAAATGTGTGGGCATGAAGGTGTCAAACCCTGTCATTTTTGTTTTTTACTGCTTTAACAACATTAACTGAGTTCAATTATGCAATCTAATGTTTGTTTTTGCAGTGACACATGAATATCTCTATTATCTTTGAGTGACAGTTTCTCCAAGAACAGGTTATCTTATCAGCCAGCGCAGTCAGGAGGACACTTTGAACCTCGGGTCATCTAATCTACTGACAGAAAAACACTGAACGTCAACTTCACAGAGACGTTAATTCACATGTACACCGGGAAACCACAGCAGAGAGTCAGTGGAGAACGTCCACATATGCAGTATAAACCGCGGTTAAACAGGGGTCATCTTTAAAGAGTTATTTTCCTGCTTTGTTCGTGGACGTCTGCTCGACTAAAGAGCGACAGTGAAGCAGGTAATTAACTGCAGCACAGGTCAGGAGCTGGACTGAGACCTGTGACGTTAGCGAGAACACAGCAGAGGTCTTAAGAGATTAATTCAGTGTGTCAGCGCTGAAAGGGAGGACAGGATTTAGTGCTGGGCCTACTCAAGGAAATTAAAGCAGGCCTTAAATGTGGGAAACCAGCAGAACCTGAAGCTAAATATTGAATTTCAGTAAGTCTAGTCTGATCTAAAGCCTTGAAATAATGAAAAGATTAACAAAAGGAGACTGGAGGACAAGAATAGAGCACCAGGAGGAACAACAAGTACAGTCTAGAAATAGAAATATAGGCTATATACAAATATATCGATGCATTTGTATAAATAAACGTCTCATTTCTTCTTGCATAAACAATGAAGTATCTAGATGATGCAAAACCACAAATAAGTCAACAGTTGTGCTTTTCTTAGTTATGCTGCTGCACTACAAAGACGCACAAATTTCTCTTTCTGCTCCAAAAGCTGAATACATTTTGTTGGAGCTTTTATTGAGAGATTTGTGAGCAAATATAAACAAGTCGAGGATATTTCTTTTGACCTGTAAACCTCCAGGAGCCTGAGGCGTGCGGTCGCCCTGGATACGGACTCTTCGAGATCCTCGCCTCAGGCAAGAGGCTGCGGTCCATCAGGACCAAAACCTCACACAACAACAACAACAGTTTCTTCCCCTCTAGTGATTTTAACGCACACTGTCTTCTTTATATCTGCACTGTTAGCTTTTGCACTCTCTGTCATCTTGCACCTTCCTGCACAACTTCCTTCAGGATTTTTGTACCTATTTTTACATGGTCTGTTAATATTGTTTTGAATGATTTTATCTTTGGTTCCTTGACAGTCGTGGTGCAGCTATGATACCTTTTTACTGTTAAAGTAATGCAAAGAAGTTTATTTATGGAGTACCATTCATGCATTTAGCCGTCTATAGATTAAAACACTCATAAAACAAATATAGAAACTTTCCTTTTTAGCAGAACTTTTGGTCCCTCCTCATAGATTCTTAAAAGAAAAGAAAAATTGCTTATTTTGATTTTACTCTTTTAATGAGATGTTTCTCTTGTTTTTTTTTTTTTAACCAATAACCTGTTTTTATATTCCTTTACTGTAAAATGTCTTTGCTTTCAAGACTTGATGTAAAGGGCACTACAAATAAAATGTATTGTTTTATTTATTATTATTTCTATTGTACATTTGTACTCACTGTTTTTGCACAAACACACTGTGAAATATCCCGTATATGTGTAAAACCAAATCCTGATTCTGATTCAGCTTACAGTGCTGCCCTGGGTGCTGACTGCAGGTTGTGTTTGGAGAAAATTTTGGTGTAATTTGCGCAATCAAATAAAGTGAAAATATATAAAAGGATAAATGAAAAGGATAAGGCCATCTACTTCAGTTGACAACAAACCACTAAAAATAAACATTTTTTCCCCATTCTTGGTCAAATCTACATAAAGTGGAAGCTATTTTTTTAGGTTAGTTTACAGAAGGTCCAAGGAGGTTCAGCGCACATGTTGCCTGAGAGGTAAAAATTAGGGCAAAAAACCCTTTAAAATCCCTCCTCTGTTTATCAGCTTCCTCTGTAATCCAGTAAACAGGAACTATTAGAGTAAGGGGGTGTAATGGTGGGTTTTGTGAGGGGTGTGTGCCCCCACATCATTGTGTAAAATGTGCCCACTGTTAACATGTTGTGTTTTCCATGTGGGCTTGTGTGAGGTCTTTGTGATGTACGACAATGATGTGATGATGCAACTTCAGGCTGCTGCACGTCAGGGGGAAACCAGCGCGCCGTGAACAAAGAAGGTACTGCACTCAAAGCTCGACAGCTTTGTCAGGGGCCATCCACGTTATTATACGCAGGTACGTTTTTGAAACTGATGCAAATCCAAGCAGGAGAAATAAACTGTTAAAATCTCTGCCTCTTTACCTCGATCTCCTGCAGTTGCTCCTGGTTTGTGGAGTACATCTGCTGCAGCCCTTGTTCCAGCTCCCTGTTTCGCTCCAGGAGCGTCTTCCCCAGCTCGGCGGCCAGCTGCAGGTCTGCAGGACAGACAGAGAGAAGGATCCATGAATGTTTTACTCTTACTTTAGTCTGGACTGAGGAAGCACAAAAAGCTGCTGTGCAAGGTTGGCAGAAATCCAGGAACTCAATTTTTGAAAATTGCGCCACAGGATTAACTCGTCTCTACCCTGGATATTAAAGGCTTTTACCAGACACAGGTGATGGTTATGTTTGATGCACCTATGAATTTAACTGAGTCAGATAAAAACAGGATTAACTCGTCTCTACCCAGGATATTAAAGGCTTTCACTAAAGGGCGGACTTAGGAATTTGGGGGCCCGAGGCAAAAGCAGGCATGGGCCCTCTGCATCCTTTACTCTAGGGATTCACCGATTGTGAAATTCTGGGTTGATACCGATGTTTGGAACAACAATTTAACTGATAGCTGATGTTTGTTTTTCATTTTGTTTTTTAGTGTTATTTATTTGCCCAATTTTTTCCAGGGAAACTAAAAAAAATCTATTATGAAAAATAACTGAGCTGTCTTTAAGGCTACGTTCACACTGCAGGTCAATTCCGATTTTTTAACCATATGTGCCACATACCTGATTTTTTCATGTAAGTGTGAACAGTGCAATTCTGTTTTTTTTCAAATCCAACCCAGGCCTCTTTTGTATGTGGATATAAATCGGATATGTCGCCGATGTGACTGCAGTGTGGACGCTTAGGTCGCGTTCATCCGACCTATACGCCATCAATTTGCGAGAAACGTCACCGTTGTTCGACAACACAAACAGGCGCGGAAAGCAATTTGTGCGCATGCGGGTCACTTCACAGCTGCATTTGTTGTTGTAATGTGAACGACCGCACAAAAAGATCGGTTTTAACAAAAAAATCCAAATTGTGCATCATAACCTGCAGTGTGAACGTAGCCTAAGTCTCTAAATCTGACAGGAGAGAATGTGATGTGAGATAGTGATGCTACAAAAATACAACAGTTGCTTAAACCCCCCAACAGTACATAAATGTGTTTAAAATTATCTCAACCTTCAACATCAGGAAATGAGTATGCAGATTAAAGCAGTTTGTTTTTGTACGTTTTGCTGCCGTCTTCCTGAATCCTTTCTGCACCGGCGCAGTAAGATGGACTCATCCAATGTAGCGGTGACTGATGTTAAGGCATTTTAGCGAATGGATTTTAATCAAAAACATAAATAATGTGCGCAAATAAGTAAAACCTCAATTAATCATAAGTGTATGATAAGTTTCAGGGGCCCCCCAGAAACACGGGGCCCTACGTAACTGCCTTGTGTCACGTAATGGTAAGACCGCCACTGCTTTGACTAGACACAGGTGATGGTAATGTTTGATGCACCTATGAATTTAACTAAATCTATCATTTGCCCTTCCTTTGATAGCTTAGGCTCTCAGTAGAAGGTAAAATTGACAATTTTAGAGTTAAAATAAGACAAAAGATGAAAATTAGAGCTGAACATTGAACAACAAAGAAGTAAGATTTGGTGTATCAGTGTGAAAATTGCACAAATGAAGTCTCCCCTCTCTTTGCACACAGACCTCTTCTGTTTTTTCACATTGCAGCAGTGTCCTGCTGACCCTGCCTTTTCTAGTACACACTAAATCTGCTAAATTTACTCAGATAAAGCTCTTTAATTTACATTTTATAAAAACAACAGACTTAAAACAGCAAAAGCAAAAGGACAGAAAATCATTAATTTGTACAAAATTAACCTACAAGGATAAATTATGTCTTTGAGACGTTATGCATGTTTAATTATGGAGATTTCCTTGTTTTACAGCTGTAATGTTTCTGCTCTTCTTCTGTAGGCCTGCTCAGATCGACACACTTCTTTATCTTCAGGGCTTAAGAGACAAAGACTGAGGAGAGGAAACTGTACCATGTTCAAGGTCTTGCTTGTCGTACCACGGTTCCTCCTCCTTAATCTCAAATTCTTCCTCCACGATCATGTCTGTCAGCATCCTCACTCTCACACAGCCTGGAGGGTCTCAAACATGTCGAGGTCCGAGTTTGTCAAACGCTGAGAAACGCTGAGGAAAGGCTTCAGTCCGGGTCCTGGACGGCACGCCTGCAGCCGGTGCCGGTGAGCAGTGCGCGTGCATCACCGGAGTGTCGGTCTGAAGGAGGGAGGGACGAATGGACACCTGCTGACGAAACCACGCTAGTGTTGTTTCGTTCGCGGACGATTCGTTCAAAAGAGCCGAATCTTTTATGTGAAAGTACTGAACCGAATTACTCCCTCGAGTGATTCGTTCGTTTCTTACTTCAGTTGAGCAGAAGTGAGAAACAGCATTGCCAGGCGAACGAGGGACCACAAGTACCGACCTCTAAATCAATTAGTAAACGAATCACGCATTGAACTACACAGACAAACACTCTCGTCTCCTGGTCCCAGAAGCTTTGAATTGAACTGAACCCTGAACCGTTCAGCTCTGTATCAGTTCAGGAGGTCAGAGTCACAGGCTTCTCCCGCCAAGCTCTAAATGATTCGGTGATTTGGTGAACGAATCTTTTTAGTGTAGTGATTCAGTACATCTAAGAGAACTGCTGTGCCCATCACTAAACCACGCTGCTCCGGGGATCAATTTCCGGTAAGTGATTTCAAAATAAAAGCAGCCTTTGTAAACGTGCAGCATCAAGCTTTTGTAGAACTGAACTTTAAAGTCAACCATCAGGATGAAAAATGATTTAGTTTGAGCTTAAAAATCTATCATATTGTATAGATGACCTTGAGTCTGAACTTAAATCATAAATCCTTTCTGTGTAAATCTAATAGGAGTAGAGCTCCATCTTGTGGTTAGGGAGCAGGAATAGGGGAGAGTGGGGTAAGATGAGACATTTTCATATTTCAGATCTATTCAGACTACATCAAGACAATCATAGTTTTGTCTCTAACTGGTGTATCTGCATATATTTCAAGATATTGTTCATCCCTGCAAACAGAATGAGTGTAAACAGAACTGTCTTGATAATATAGCATGCCCGTGTATGGGGTGGGTTAAAGTTAAATGAGATAAAGCAACCGCCACAAGAAACAAGATGGATGTTGAGAGCGTGTCAGTGATTTAGATGGAGTTGAAATGAATAAATGATAATTATTTGGAGCTCAGGGCAGACACCCCTCCATCACTGCCATATTTCCCTGCAGAGTCCAAACACCAGACAGACACTGACAATAACTCAATATCACGTCATCTCATCTCTGCAAAATAAATATTCATTGTCAGTTCATTAATTTGTTATTTATTTGTCACAATGTGTGTGCTGCTGCTAATGCTGATATATGGATGCAGTGAGAAGATTGTAAAATCACAGAAGAAGAGGAAGAAGGTAGACAACTGACACCACAGTGAAAATGACACTATATCACTATAAAGTATGATGCATAGACAAGTAAAGAGCAGTGTCTTACAAAAGTTGAACACCTGGACTCTTCTACTAGGGAGCCACACTGCTGTTGAATGTGTGTAACGTGTGTTTTTTGTATTGTCTTGCAGAAACATGAAGGTTTTCCCTGGAAAGAGTCGCCGTCTAGATGAAGCCAACACATATGTGTGTGATCTACCTGTGCCATGGACCCTTATGCATCCTCGTACCATCTCAAGTACTGGCATTTGAACCCTGCTCTGATGAGGAAACTTGGGTATTTAATTGATTTATAAACTTTTTTTTGAACTGGGTTATATAAGGGGGAGAAAGGAGGCTGCACTAGCTTCAGAGACAGCTTTTATGCACCCTCTTGGATAAAGGAAATTTTTGGCCTTTAATAGCTAATGCATCAAATTATACATCTTAAGGTAATATGTTACAGATTATGTGAGTTAAATCCCACGTAAGTTGCACATCTTCTATTGTCAACACATAAAGATGAAATCATCTAGAGAGATGAATTTCTGAGCCTGATGGATGACAAACATAAAGGAGGAGAGACTCTCTAATTCAAGCTCATTTTTGAGTTGTTAAAATTCACATTTCTGACACGGTAAGGTCATCAGTGAAGCTTCCACCCGTCCTCCTGCATGCATGTAGGGTGCTGCACCAGCAGAGGGCAGAGGAGAGCTTGTAGTAACTTCTCACAGACAGCGACCTTTGTCACAGTGCACTTATCAGTGTATTTACGTCAAAACTGAAAGTCTTGTGAGATGACATGTATGTGTAAAAACCACATACACTCTCTCTCCACTGTAGAAGACTTTAATGGTTATCTGATCCCTGCTTATCACAGGGTGACATCAGTGTGGCCCAAAGCTGTGCTGGGAGACATAATAGACAGCAGGCTTTGAATTTCAGACTCCCACTGTGTGTGTGGGATGTGCATGTCAAAAAATCTCCTGCTGACACACAGAGGATGTATCTGCTGTGTGCTAAATGATAACTGCTGGCCTGAAGTGAGGAGGGCTCAGATCAAACTACAGAACAGCGTTCACAGTTTACGGTGTTAATTAACAAACCAAAAATAGACGTTTGGAATCAACAAGTGCAAAAATGTTCACTTGTTCTGGAATACATGAGGACAAGCGTAACCTCTGGAGGCTTTTCCTTCTGCTTCACTTCAGTACATTAAATTAAAGGAAGCCTATTACGCTGATTCATGCTTTAAAGGGATATTCCGGCGTAAAATTAATATAGGGTCAAACACACCGTAACACCGAGTTAGACACCACCACCAACTGTAGAAACGACCTCACGATAGCAATACACAGCGGTCTGAGGAGAAATGAGTCAAAGTTAAAAAGATGTTTAGTGGCTAGTGCTATGGCTGGGACCCTATATGTCCTGTTGATGAAGTTAGGTGCTGTTCTGAGCATTATTTGTGGCTATAGAGTGGCGTTTTGGTTGAGGTTTGTTTATGGCTCCTCAGACCGCTGTGTATTGCTATCCTGCGGTCATTTCTAAAGTTAGTATAACCGGAGAAGCAAGCGGTTTTGGCAAATTTATCTCTCGAGGGGGTGTCTAACTCGGTGTTTCGTGTGTTTGACCCTAAATTAATTCACGCCTGAATATCCCTTTAACGTTACAATGCTGGATGCCCATATTGAAGTGTTGTTGAGTTCCATAACATGAGATACAAAGATGGCGGTGTGATCCCCATCTGCTGTGCTGTCCACTTATGACAGAGCTGAAAAACGAGCCCACCCGGTGGTGTCATCCTTTGGCTTCTTCCTCTTTTCTGCTCTCTCCTCCATTATGAAGTTTCTTGTGAGGGGTCTTTTGGTTGTAAAGAACAGTTATTTTCTCTTCCCAAAGTTCTTGTTTTGTTTGTGTTATGAGGTTTTCAAAGAGGGACAAGTTGGGATTGCAGGCTGGACTCTTCTACTATAGAGCCATGCTGTTGTAAAAGGTGCAGAAAGTAGTTTGGCAGCTGTGCCTGTTTGCATCCAGGTAGAAGACCGGTAAAGCTTTATGGCGTTATGACTCGTGGAGGGTGGCTGTGCTTCAACTTGGACTCAACATTTAACAAGCCTTCAATGATGGAAAAATTAATAGTTAGTTTAACCGTCTTATAATTCTGGTGCTGATGAGCGAGGGCGACAACATTTAATCTAGCGGTTGACTAATGCACACGTCTTTGCTGGATTTGTCCTGTTCGTGTCCAAGTGGTGTTTCCTGACAGATTCCCCTCCTCCCGCTTTCATCGAACTGTCACTTATATAATTATATAACTCGCTGTGAATATTTGCCGTAGAAAGAGAAGAAACAAAGGCTGTTTCTGCAGCCTGCTGTACCTCCTTTTCTTTAACACCTCCTCCTCTACATCCATCAAATATCACAATGAGCCTCTAGAAGACGTCGACCCTCATTTCAGTCTGATTCATGGTCAGATTAAAACACGTCAGAGGGGCTTTACTGTATGCTTTTGGAGAGTAAAAGTGTGTTTTTTCTCTGAAGAATGAAGTGTAGTGTAATCCTTGAATCTGATTAACTGCTTGTCTCTGAGCGCACATGATGTCAGAGCCACTTAAGACCTGCTCTTTAGGTTTTGTATATCACTGAAAGTACGACTGTGAGCTCCGGCACACGTCACAATCCTTCATTTTCAGCAGAGACCTTCTGTCTTATCCCCAAGCTGGCCCTCGGAGAACTCTTGAGTGTTATTGTCATAAGTTTTAATCAATCCTTATTTTCAATAGGGATGATTAAAAGGGGACGGGACAATGGCTTAAACAGAAACCAAAAGAAAAGCAGCAGGGGGAAGAAATCCTGCAGCTGATGAATGAGTTCAGAGAAATCACGTAAAGAGGAGAGTTGAATACGTCTCGTAAAAGTGCAGATAATAAAGCATGGTATGCGTTAATGCAAATGAGAACATCCAACTGTAAAAATGTCAAAGCCACCCCCCACCACCCCTATAAGGGACTCTGCCTCACTTATGATGCAGAACAGGTCCTCAAGAGAGTGTTTCAGAGAGAGAGTCATCGTCATTTTCACCGTGAGCTGAGACATCTAATAAGACCTGTATGCAATCTCTTCAACTGAGTGCAATAAGAAGTGCTGAGCTGGTACATCGGCGAAAACATAAAATCCAGAATTCAAGCTTTGTTTTTCCTCGATAAGAGGTTCACTAAAATAAACATGGCAGGGTGGGCAGCAGCCATGAGTCCGGGCTCTAATCGGAGACTTTTGACAGCATGACAGAAAAACTATAACAGCAAATCAAGGTCAAAGAGACGTGTTCGAATTACAAAACCGTGCAGATAACAAAGTGATTTAAAGCTTTGACTGATAAGGCAAAGACAGGAGTTCAGGAGATACATAAATCAATATGTAAGAGTCAAGGTGGACAGAGAAAAGTCTAGAAAGTTCTCACAGTACGAGAAGAAATCCCAAAACAACAAGAATAGATGCAAGTAAATGAAAATTTATGAAACAGATGAATGTTCAAATAAAACATAAATCACTACGAGTTATGAGGCAATAAATACAAGATATAAAAACGAACAAATGAAACGTGATTTTAAAAGATGTCTCTAATTCTACATGTTTTATCTGCTCAAGTTGAGGAAGTCGTTTCAAAGTCGAGGGGCTCTCACTGAAAGGATTTGAGCCTCCACTTTGTAATGACCAGAAAAGTGCCACTCGAAGATGTCAGGGCAGGACCCAGGTGAGCTTTCAAAGCTGCCTTTTCAT